AGGCCTGTGCCCTGACCGGGAACTGAACCCGTGACCTCCTGGTTCATAGGTCGACACTCAACCACTGGGCCTTGCTGGCCGGGCTCCAGTCTGCCTTTCTAACTCCTGTCTCTGACTCTGCCACTGTGCGGGGAGTGTGGAAGGCAGATGCCACAGTGCTAACGAGAGAATACCTGGGCCGGAGTGTGGGCTGGAGGCTGCCAGGTGACAGGGTGGAGGAGGACTGTGGGTGGCAGAGGAAGCAGGAGGCTGCCTCAGGGAAGGGGCCAGACCCTGGGAGGCCGGAAGGTGTTCTTTTTCTTCTGAGGCCAAGGAGAGAGGAGGAGGCAACCAATCCATGTGTCTCTCACATCGACGTTTCTCTCTCTGTCTCTCCCCCTGCCTCCCTTCCACTCTCTCTCAATGGAAAAAAGTATCGTCAGGTGAGGATTTGAAAAAATAAAATATAAAAAATAACACTCTGGGCCCTTCCAGAGGCCGGAGGCTCTAACCCCACCTGTTTGTCCGCACAGCCAGCGTCCCACGTGGCCCAGAAGCCCGCAAAGGTGTCTGTGTCCTCACTCCACCCGGCCTCGCTGCACCCTCCGCCTGGCTGTGACAGGCCCTGCCCTGGCGTCGGGGAGGGAGGTGTGCGAAGCTCGGGCGCGGCCTTGCCCTGGATGGTGTCGCTCGTGGGTTGTGTGGGCTCCAGGTCCTGTAAAGACCCAGTTTAGGGGGAGCAGGCACGTAAAACCCGGACCTACCTTGTCTGTCTTTGGGGGATGTGTTTGATGGATGAGCGAGTTGAAACCCCAACCCAACAAATAGAAACAGAACTGTTGAAAAGTGTCAGCTGCATGGTGAACAGGCCTGAGGAGGCCATAACTGGGGTCCCTCCAGCCCTACATAGCAGGGGGGCTGTCCCCAGCTCAGGGGCCGCAGGGGCGAGGTCTGCACCCCCCCCACCCCCCCCAGTTGCCCTCAGCTCGGCAGGCCCAGCTGTGCTCACAAGGCCTCCAGGCAGGCTCCTCTCAGCTGCTGGGGGAACAGGTGTGCCCTTTCCACCCGCCCCTGAGGTCACTTGTGGTCTCTCCATGGAGCCGGACAATGGCCATCTGTTCTGACTTCTCATTTCATCGAGAAAATCCCAGAATGCTGTCCTCCCTCCGACACTTCCTGGGGACTCGGCTCTGCCTCCCCCACTCCTTCCAGAAGGCGTCTGGCTCAGACCCTGTCCCACCTGCTTCCCCGTCTGCTCCTCGCCCAGTTAGACCCAGCCCTCCCGCAGGCTGGAGGCCGCACAGCAAGGCCCTGTGATCAGGGACGGAGGCGGCCGCAGTAATGACCTGCCTGAGCCACAGCCTTTAAAGAAACCTCCCCTGAGGAAGGCAGGAACCAGGAGCTTCCTGAGCTCGGCAGGCGCGTGTCCAGCAGTCCCCTCGGCCGCGTGTGCTCTGTCAATCCTCATCTGAGGGTATTTTCCGTAGATTTTTGGAGAGAGTGGAAGGGAGAGAAAGAGAGAGAGAAACATCCATGTGATGTGAGAGACAATAAAGGGGTTGCCTCCCACACACGCCCCACCTAGGGCCAGGGATCAAACCTGCAACCGAGGTACGTGCCTTGACGGGGAATTGAACCCAGGACTCGGTGGTGTGTGGGCTGATGCTCTAACCACTGAGCCAGGCCAGCGGCCCCTCAGCCCTGTGTGAAAGCCCTGGTGCCCCTGCGCGGGCTGCAGGGGCCTCCTTGGCGGGGAAGGCCATGCCAGCCACGCTCTCTCCCTGCTCCTGATGGCGAGGAGTTCTTCACACAATCGTCTGTGCCTGTGCTCCTGCCTCCGTCCCTTCCCGCTGCCACCGCTGGGGTCCGGGTGGCCCCTCAGTGAGCAGCGATGGTCTGAGCTGCAACCGCTTTGCGGCGAGCTGTCCCCTCCTCACATGCCCTGGTCTCGGTCACCCTGGGATTCCCTCCTTTTGGCCACTGGCTCTAGCTGGCTGTCCTGCCCGCCTCCCTCTCAGACTCCAAGGGGTGAGACCGGTGCAGCTCCCTCCAGCCCTGGCACCGGCTGTACCCACCGTGGGAGGCTCAGCCGTGCCATCTGCTCCCAAGCCCGCTGGCCATGCATGAATTTACCCACGAATGGAGCCCAACATGGAGGGATTTATCATCGCTATTTGTAGAGTAGATATTTTGGGAAACGTTTATGGAAATATTTTCAAATATGTTTTTATTGATTTCAGAGAGCGGAAGGGAGAGGGGGATAGAGAGAAACGTCCACGATGAGAACCACGGACCGGCCGCCTCCTGCAGGCCCCCCTGGGGACGGAGCCCACAACCTGGGCCTGTGCCCTGACCGGGAATCGAACCGTGACCTCCTGGTTCCTAGGTCAACGCTCAGCCCCTGAGCCAGGCCGGCCGGGCACGCGCTGTGTTTGCCACATCTGTGTGTCAGAGCACCTGGGTGGGGGGCAGTGGGTGGAGCTGGTGATCAGGGCGGAGGGCGGTCCTGGGGGCTCAACTCCCCGCCTCCCAGGGCCTCAGGGCAGGGAGAGCCCAAGTGCTGGCGCCTGAGCCCCGTTCCCTCAGTTGAGGAGAGAGCCTCGAAGGTGAGCTGTGAAGGTCAGTGAGGCGTGAGTCAAAGGGCTTTGAAGGCCCTGGCTGGTCTGGCGCAGTGGGTAGAGCGTCGGCCTGCAGACTGAAGGGTCCCAGGTTCGATTCCGGTCAAGGGCACAGGCCGGGTTGCAGGCTCGACCCCAGTGAGGGGTGTGCAGCTGATCATTGATCCTCTCTCACCATCGATGTTTCTCTCTCTCCCTTTCCCTTCCTCTCTGAAATAAAAAATAAGGGGGGGCTTTGAAGATGTCGGAAATGATGCCAGTTTGCTGTGGGCCAGGCCCGCACTTTGGGCGGGAAATTCAGACCCGGCAGCGCCCACCTCCGTCCCTCTCCCTTCAGGGCTTTGACGGGTCCCTGCTTCCGCCTGGGCCTCTGCTTGGCCACCTGCGGCAGGTCCCGGGGTTCCATCCGGACGGGGGGTGCACAGGGCCTCCCCCGGCCATGGCTGTGCTGTAGGGAGGGGTGCAGCCTGGAGCTGTGCAGGTGGAGAAACCGGAAACCGGAGGCCCGCAGCAGCGCCATGCCTGCCCCCTGGTGGCCAGACCCGGGCCTTGCGTGGCACAGAAAGCTCCAGGCAGATTGGGGGGGTGGGGGGGGGGGGGGCATCTGAGGGTGTGCGAGGGGGGACACCCCAGGTTGATGATGGCGTCAGCACCTTCACGGTCAGAAGCCCTGACGGCACACGTAAGATCCGAGGTGTCATTGCGTGTCAATTTCATGTCAGAACAGAAGTCTGCAAACAGGCACCAGGCCTGGCTCCTGATGGGAAAGGAAGGCATTTGGGGGAAATGAATGGTGACAGTGCGAGCGAGGAATGGGGGCCCCGATGGAGGGAGCGCGGCCGATGGACGGTGTCGGGGGGGGGGCTCCAGGCGGCGGCGTAAGGGCGTCGTTCACTGTGAAATGCCGTCAGCTCTGCTGCCGGTTCGCACATTTTCAGGATAAAGTGCTGGGGAAGGTCTTCCCCTAGCGGCTGACCTCTGAGCTGGCCGCCGCGTGGGCACCAGTGGGGGGGTGGCCTCTCCCTGGGATCGGGGTTCAGGCCCAGTGTTTGGGGGGTGCTGATGAGCGGGAACAGGGAAGCTGAGTCTGGAGAGGGTGCCCACCATCCCAAGATGGTGCCCAGGTGGTGGACACGGGAGGCCCAGCTTTCACAGGACACGTTCCCGTAAGTGGGGGTCCCACTGCTGCTCTGTGTGCCCTGGGGTCTGGCTGCTCCTTAAGGGAAGTGGGCAGGGCAGGAGGCCCAGGGGCCTGACAGGCAGGGGGTGGGCAGAACGGGACCCACCCAGTTTTTTTAAAAAAAATGTTTTTATTGACTTCAGAGAGGAAGGGAGAGGGAGAGAGACATAGAAACATCCATGATGAGAGAGAATCATGGATTGGCCGCCTCCTCCTGCACATCCCACACTAGGGATGGAGCCCACAACCTGGGCCTGTGCCCTGACTGGGAATCGGACCGGGAATCAGACCCTGACCTCCTGGTTCATAGGTCGATGCTCAACCACCGAGCCACGCCGGCCGCGCAGAGACCAGCCAGTTTTAATGACAAGCGCAAGTGAAATCCATGGGTCTGCCGTTCTTGGGGCTGGCTCCGCTGAACCCTCAGGGACCGGGCGTCGTGGCACAGCCAGGGCAGGACCAGGGCCTGGCCAGGATTCTGCGCCCTACGGGGAACCCCAAGATGTAGGCAGCCTCTGGCTTCTGCTCAGCGCCTCACTGAGAGCAGTGTGGGCCCTGCCCCATGCATTAGCTCCAAGGCCACAGCCGGGGTCCTCCCCCAGCACCAGGTAGCGGCTATGGGAGCAGTCGGTTCTATCACATATTATAGTCTGATTAGTATAATCTAATGTGTTATTGCCGTAAAAGTGCTCATTGAGTTCACTGCAATCATTCATAGTTTAAAAGTTTTATGAGCATCATCCTGGCAGACAACCGTCATTTCAATTAAAAATAAATTACAGTAAAAAACTACTGATTGAGCCGAACCGGTTTGGCTCAGTGGATACAGCGTCAGCCTGTGGACTCAAGGATCCCAGGTTTGATTCCGGTCAAGGGCATGTACCTTGGTTGCAGGCGCATCCCCACTGGGAGGTGTGCAGGAAGCAGCTGATCGATGTTTCTCTCTCATCGATGTTTCTAACTCTCTATCCCTCTCCCTTCCTCTCTGTAAAGAATCAATAAAATACGTATTAAAAAATATTACTGATTGAGTCTTGAGAATAGCCAAGAGAACTGTATGATCTTGCTCTAAAATTACATGTGAGACTCGAGCCGGTTTGGCTCAGTGGATAGAGCGTCAGCCTGTGGACTGAAGGGTCCTGGGTTCGATTCTGGTCAAGGGCTCGCTGTACCTCAGCTGCAGGCTTGAGCCGGGGGTGTGTGCAGGAGGCAACTAATCGATGTGTCTCTCTCACATCGATGTTTCTCTGTCTTTGCCCCTCCCTTCTACTCTCTTAAGAGAAAAACATCAATGGAAAATACCTTCGGGTGAGGATTAACAAAAAAAGTATTAAATTTAAGTTGCATGTGAGAAATGGTGGGAATCTGAAGGCTGCCAGGCCGCCCGAGAAGCTGCGTCCGGCCTGGTGCGTGGGTGCCACCTGCTGACCTGGCTCTCCCAGGTCCTAGAGACGGAAGTGGAGGGGAGACGAGCAGCCCCGAGAGGATGCAGTCGGAGCTGAGCGGCGACCGTTCCCCAGCCTCCCTGGTGGAGGCGTCTGTGCCCAGACTGGTCGTTGACACGCGGGGCCTGGGAAGGCAGGAGGGGGGGCGGAGAATTGCAGGGCGAGGGCTGGGCCCCCATGGCAGCCCCGCGTCTGCAGAGGTGCCAGCCGCCCACAGCGTGTGGGGGCAGCAGATGCGAGCTGCACAGTGGCCGAGACGTGGGGGTTGCGATGGTTCTCAGGCACAACACCAGCACCTGCCTGGGAGTGCTCCTTCCCGGCCGGGTGGTCAGGCATCGGCGTGACGCGGGGCGCGGGTGCCTGGATCTGTGCCACTCACCCGCTGGGGGCCCAGGCCCACTGACCTCCCGTCCCCCACTCCCGCCCTCACTCTGACCTTGTGAAGCACCCAGCACAGTGGTCCGTAGTGACAGGTGGGAGTGTAAGGGCCGCAGCGTCGGGTGGGACTGCCCGACTCGTGGCTGGAGTCCATAACGGGGTCTGTCCCCTTCCCCCCCTGCCGCCCCCCTGGGACTGGTTCTCAGACCCCGAGGCCCAGAAAGCGCCCACTGGCTGCTGCAGCCTCTCGGGAGGTGGGCACCCCGCGTAGGCTCTGGGCCCTGGGCGTGCACCTGCCCCCCCAGCGCTGGGCCCCCCATGTTGCCAGGTGGGGTGTGCAGTGCCCCCTGGCTCCCACCCTGAGCCTGTGTCAGCCAGTGATGCTCACAGCCGCCTGCAGGACCACAAAGGGCGTGGCCGCCTGTGGCCAGGGCAGCTGTGTCCGCGTGGGGTGCTCTGTGGGAGGCGGGGAGCCGCAGCCCCCCAGGCCAGACCTCCAGGCTGGACAGAGACAGCAGCTCTCCCAGGGCAGGGGCGCCGGACACGGACCTGGCAGGAGGCGACCCCAAGCGCCCGGGACAGTGACCAGGGGAAGCCTCAGGGGGCTGAGCCCTTCAGGGAAGGGTCCGTGCCAGGGGGACAGTCTGGAACCCACAGCGGGGGAGCAGCCGGGGGTGGAGAGGACAAGGTTTCCTTTCAGACCCCGGGCTTCACCCCCAGCAGCTTCCTAGGCCGAAGCCCCAGCAGACAGTCCCCAGGCCGCCTCCTCCTCCCGTTCAGGGGACCCGCAGAGACGCTGGGGTGGCATTTGCCAAGCAGGAGCGACGTCCACCCACAGACAGAAGCCCACGGGCAGGCGTGACATCCTTTATTGCCCGGCGTCCACCCACAGACACAAGCCCACGGGCAGGCGTGACGTCCTTTATTGCCCGGCGACAACCCACAGGCACAAGCCCACGCAGGGCTGGCGTGCTCGGGGGCGGGCGGGGCGGAGGGGCCGTCGTGCTGGGGGAGGCCAGCCGGCCCTGCACAGGCAGCGGCTCAGCTGCTTGGCCACAGGAGGGTGAAGGAGCCGCGGCTGCAGCGGAAGTCGGGCTCGGGCTGCCCAGGCCGGGGCTCCACGGACACCAGGCGCCGGGCGCCACGCTGGCTCAGGGGGATGCAGTCAGACACTCGGATCTCCAGCGGGCGGCCCTCCCTGGAGCGGACGCGAGAGGTCAGGCAGGGGGACAAGTGGGCAGTGGGGGGACAGGCAGGGTGGCAGGCCCTGAGCCCCCCATCGCCCCTCCCCACCTCACCCCCCCAGCTCACCCCTGGCAGTGTCCGGCCAGCACGCCCACCAGCTCCCCCACGCGGTTGTCCAGCGGCGGCCTCGAGCGGTGCAGACACACCACCAGGTCGTCCAGACCCTTCAAGTGCAGCACCACCAGCTGGTCCCGCCCGCTGGTCACACTCAGCCCCGTCACCTGGGGGTCAGGGTCAGGGTCAGGGCCAGAGGGAGCAAGTCCTCCTTCTGACCCCCAGGACCCAGCCTCTGGGGCCCCACCCGCTGCTCCTCCATGGGTCCCCAGGTCCCCTTCCTCCTTGTGGCTCTCGAGTGAGTGCCTGCGCGGCACTGGTGGGACTGAGGGGCTGGCCTTCCTCCTAAGCAGCCACACCCCCCTTGGTCTGCACGGGGACCTGGACCCGCCTGGGCCAATCCTTGCCCTGAGGGCCAGTGAGCCACAGGGCTGGGGGGAGGGAGATCTCCCAGCCGCACAGGTGTGGGGAGAGGGGGAGAGGGCCCACCTGGGGGCTGAGTAGGGGTGTGGGGACGGGGCTGTGCCCACAGGAAGCCATGCAGTCTGCTGCTGGGGGGGGGGGGCAGCCTGAGCGGAGACTGTTCTAGGAAGTTCCAGGCACCCCAGGCAGGTGGGAGGGGCGGGGCCCATGGACGCTGCTCCCGCCCCCACAGGCTCACCAAGTCCAGGGGCACGGCCCGCATCACCCGGTACTGCCGGCCGGGCTCCAGCTTGTACAGGTGCCGGTCGGTGAGCAGCAGGGCGCGGTCCCGCCTCTTGTTGAAGCGGTTCACCTGGGCAGATGCTGGGGTCAGTGCCCCCCGGGCGCCCCCAGCCCCGCCCTGTGTTCTCCCTGCCTGGGCCGGAGCTGGCCACTTCCCAAGTGTCAGGGCAGCTGGGAGACAGCCGCCGGGCCGCCCTGCCCACCACTCACCTTGCGGACGTGGCTGGAGAAGAGCACCACCCCGAAGCCGTCCTTGTCCCGAAGTGACTTCAGGCGCTGAGCGAACAGGCTGGAGGCGGCAGGGTTGTCGGCGGCCTGAGCACAGATGGGGGCAGCTTGGGACGGGGTCTGGGACCGTGTTCGACTGGCAGCCAGTCTGGGTGAGTGGCACAGCCACCCTGACCTGGGGAGCCCACGTCGGGCGGGGCATGCACCGCCTTTGCTGGGCCTCCCGCTACACTGAGGGCCAGCACAGACCTCACAGCCTAAGGGTCAAGACATCAGGTTTCTGCCCTCCACACCGGCCCCTGCCTGCTCCTCAGGCCAGACCTGGACCTCGGCAGATGGACGCTAAGAAGGCAGCAGCCAGCGGGGACCAGGCCCCCCCAGGCTAACACTCCTGGGCCTCTTCTCCTGCAATCCAGGCCAGGGGCCTGCGGGCAGCACCCGCCCACTGAGGGCCAAGGGGAGCTCTGGCCGGGATGCCAACTGAGCTTGGGGGGGCGCTGTGTCTGAGGACAGGGGTTTGGACTGCACCTGAGAATGGGGGGCGGTGTTCTTGAGAATAAGGGGGTTGGCCTTAGAATGGGGGGTCAGGAATGGGAGCAGGGCCGAGGAGCAGGTGCTCCCTGAAGCCCAGGCCAGTGGTTCTGAGTGAAAACACTTAAACTTCAGGCTGGCAGGCGTGGCTCAGTTGACCTATGAACCAGGAGGTCATGGTTCGATTCCCGGTCAGGGCACATGCCCTGGTTTCGAGGTCGATCCCCAGTGTGGGGTTTGAAAGAGGCAGTGGATCAATGATTCTCTCTAATCATTGATGTCTCTATCTCTCTCCCTCCCTCTCCCTTCCTCTCTGAAATCAATAAAAAAATAAATTTAGGCCCTAACCGGTGTGGCTCAGTGGATAGAGCGTCGGCCTGCGGACTGAAGGATCCCAGGTTCGATTCCGGGCAAGGGCATGTGCCTTGGTTGCAGGCACATCCCCAGTTGGGGTTGTGCAGGAGGCAGCTGATCGATGTTTCTCTCTCATCTGTTTCTCATCGATGTTTTTAACCCTCTATCCCTCTCCCTTCCTCTCTGTAAAAAAATCAATAAAATATATTAAAAAAAAATTTAAAACAAACAAACCAAAAACCTCCACAATGCCCTAGCCCAGTGATGGCAAACCTGTGACACGCGTGTCAGAGGTGACACGCGAACTCATTTGTTTGGTTGATTTTTCTTTGTTAAATGGCATTTAAATATATAAAATAAATATCAAAAATATAAGTCTTGGTTTTACTATGGTGGCAAATATCAAAAAATTTCTATATGTGACACGACACCAGAGTTAAGTTAGGGTTTTTCAAAATGCTGACACGTCAAGCTCAAAAGGTTCGCCGTCACTGCCCTAGCCAGTATGGCTCAATGGCTAGAGTCTCAGCCTGTGGAACAAAAGGTCCCAGGTTCAATTCCCGGTTGCGGGTTCGATTCCCGGTTGTGGGCTCCATCCCCAGTAGGGGGTGTGTGGGAAGCAACCGATCAATGATTCTTTCTCATCATCATTGATGTTTCTATCTATCTCGTCCTCTCCCTACCTCTGAAATCAGTAAAAATATGTATTTTTAAACAACAACAACAAAAGAACACTTAAACTTCAGAGGCAGAGGCCCCATGGGCCCAGCCTGGCACTCACGGAGGACAGGTAGTCTCGCAGCCAGGCCCGCCGGCAGCCCCAGTCCGGCCGCAGCTCCTGCAGGGCCCCCATGGCGGCCACCTTGGCTTTGATCTGGGCCATGTCCGAGGGGGGGATGTTCTTCACTAGCTGCCGTGCCCGCCACCTGCAGGGGACAGGAGCTCAGAGGGGCCGGAGCAGCCCCAGGTTCCCACCCCAGGTCCTGCCTCTCACTCTCAGCCTGGCCCTGGCCACCAGCCATGTCCCAGCCACCCCTCCTGCTGAGCTGCTGGTCACCCTGTGGCCCTCCTCCCGGAGAACTCCTACTCAGCCTGCAAAGCCCCACGCCCAGCCCCGCCTGCCACCCTCCCCTGCAGGCCTGTGTCCCCTCCGGTGCCCAGCGTGGTGGGACCGCAGGGTCTGCTACCAACTGTGGAGTTCTGGCCGGTTTGGCTCAGTGGATAGAGCAGCGGCCTGCGGACTGAGGGGTCCCTGGTTGATTCAGGTCAAGGGCACAGGCCCGGGTTGCGGGCTGGATCTCCAGTAGGGGGCGTGCAGGAGGCAGCCGCTCTCTCCATCTCTCCCCCTCTCCCTTCCTCTCTGAAATCAATAAAGATATATTTCTAAAAGCAAACAAACAAAAAAGTTCCCGCTGTGTCCACCGGCTCGGAGTCCGGGGTGCGGGGGGGCACGGGCGGGCGGGCGGGAAGGAGCGGGGCGCCGACCTGCAGAAGAGCGCGCGGCAGGCGTCCTGGAAGGGCTGCAGCACGGCCGGGGGCGGCGGCCAGGCCAGGTCGCGGCCGAAGAGCGGGGGCTGCCGCGCGGCCTGGAACCGCCGGTGCAGCTCCGCCAGGTGAGCGCGCACCTTGTGCCTCCGGTAGCAGCGCATGATGGTGTAGGCGGCGCGCAGGCGGCGGCAGCGCCACCGCGCCAGGGTGCCTCTCCAGGCCTGGGGGACAGGGTCAGGGGGACGGGGTCAGGGGGACGGGGTCAGGCTCCGCCCGGCTCCCGCAACCCCGCCTCTGCCCACCCACTGCCTGAGCCGGCGGGCGGGCTCGCCTGCCCTGGCTCCCGGGAGCGCCCCCACCCGGCCCGCCCCAGCCCCAGCCTCTGCGCAACCCCCGGGGAAGCTGCTCCCCTGAGTCCCCCTCCCCGCCGCCCCCCCAGCTCCCGACTCCAAGTGCCCCCGGGAGAAGGCACATGACCAGGGACAGGGGCAGAGGAAGCCCTTCCCACCCAGTAGGTGTCCACCCGGACTCTGACCTGCGTTAGCCTCCACTCCCAGGAGACCTAGAGGGAGGGCATCCCGGACTACAACCACCCAACCCAGACCACAGGCCTGTGGGGCAGGCAGCCCAGTGACCACAGATTAAAACTGACTTAAGCAACGTTGCCTAGGTCACAACTTCGGGATCCGAATGGCACAGACGGGAGAGGATGGGGGCTGAGGTGGAGGCGCCTGCCAGCAGCGGGTCAGCGAGAACTCGCTACAGCCCTTGTCTCGGACAACAGTGTGTGTCATGGTCCCGGCCGGTGTGGCTCACTGGCCTTCGCACCAGGTTTGATTCCGGGTCAAGGGCACATACCTGGGTTGCAGGTTCGAGCCTTGTTGCCCCTGTGGGGTGTGTGGGAGGCAGCCAATCGATGGATGTGTCTCTCTCACATCGGTGTTTCTCTCTCCTCCCCTCCCGTCCACTCTCTTAAAAAAAAATCAATGGCAAAATATCCTCACTCCTTGGGTGAGGATTTAAAACAGCAACAACACACATGCCTGCGCTAGAGCCAGAGCAGCAGCCGGGGAGCGGCCGCGCGCCTGTCACTGGGTGGGATTTGGGGTTCCCGAGTGGGACAGGTAACGGGGGGCCGCGTGTGGACTAGGGTGCCCCGGTGGGAGGTGCTCAGACAGGAGGAGACATTGCATGGGGTGGAGTTAGGGGTCAGCGTGGCCACGTGCCTGCTGAGGTCGCCAGGGTGACGCCATGTGTATCAGAAAACACAGCTCTGCGCACCGGAGTGTGTGTGGGTGCGAAGAGAGAGGGAGACAGGGACGCAGCCACGGGGTGGGGCGCACGACCCAGCAACCCCGTGAGTGGCAACCTGTGTGAATCTTCCAGCTTTTCTGTGGGTTTGAAAAGTGAAAAGCCAAGGGCTGGGGGAGGGGTGGAAAGCCACTGTCCTCTGGAAAACACCCCGAAAAGATTCCCAAGGACCTGAATTGCTTCCCAATAACCAGGACGGAGGTGCAGGCGTCTGCGCCAAAGCACATGATGGAGAGGTGACAGGTGGCAGGAGTGTGGGTGGGGCTTTAGTTCATCGACCCAAACCCTTTCCTCTAGGTCTGAGGTCTGTCAGAAGAAATAGGAGCAAAGAAGAAGGAGGGAGGGAGGGAGGGAGGGAGGGAGGGAAATCTTGTGCACCTGGACCTGAGCTGGCAGCTGAGGCGACCTGGACCCAACCCACACCTTTTGCTTAAGTCAGTTTCAGTCGTGGTCTGGTTTGTCTCCAAAAGTCCTGCTCGTGGGCACGCCCCTCCCCTCCCCCCCACGTGCACATCCTCTCCCTCCCCCGCGTGCACGCCCGCCGCCTCCACAGCCCGCGCTCCCGCAGGTGCACCTTCTGCAGCAGCAGCACGATGATGGGCACCAGGCGCGCGCGGCTCTGCTCCAGTGTCACCAGCGTCCGCGGCGAGCGGATGAAGAGCTTGCTGCGCCCGAAGGCCACGTCCCCCTGCAGCCCGTGCTGCTCCAGGAGGGCGCCCACGGCCTCGCGGTCCGAGCCCAGCAGGTGGTTGGGCCACGTGTACTCGCAGGTCATCTTGTACCTGGAACCACGGGGCGGGCGGTGGGTGCCAGGCCCTGGGGAGGGGAAGGGGGGGCAGCCGCCCCCACGTGCCACTCACACTAGCCCCGCCCACACCCACACTCAGGCCGCCTCCAGCCCCCAACAGATCCCACCCGCCCCTACCTGCCCCATCCTCACCCCTGCCCCCGGCCCCACCCCTGCCCCCCCAGCCCCTGACCCCGCCCGGCCCCCGCCCCTGGCCCCGCCCCACTCCTGTGTCCCCGAGGGTCCCGTGGACTTTGTCCCGTGGTCACAGAGAGTCCGCTCCCGCGTGCAGGTCTGAGAAGCGGCTGTCGGGACCCCGTCCCCTCGCCCCTCGCCCCGGGAAGCGGGTGGGCAGCGGGCGGCGGTACCTGAGCAGGAAGCGCGGGTACGGCTGTCGGGAGGCGAAGCCGGCCCTGCGGACCCGCACGTTCTCCAGGAGCCCCAGGTAGGCGACCTGGTGGCGGCAGTGCGCCTCGTCCAGCCGCGCGGCCGCCTTGTCCTGGTTGGGCTTGATGCAGCGCACGTAGAAGGGCTCCTGGGGGGGGTGGGGGCGTCTTAGGGGACCTCCCGCTGCGGGGGCTCCGGGCTGGGAGACCCCATCCCTCCCCCACGGGGCGCCGTGCCCCTCGGGCTGGCACCTTGGAGGCCAGGTTGTCCACCAGCGCCACCATGGAGTTCTTGAAGAGCGTGCCGGCCGTCAGCGGGCGCTTGGTCACCTCCGTGATGTCCTGCTGCCCGTCCGGCCACATGGCCCGCAGCGTGGGGTCCGAGCTGTGGACACAGGCGCATGTGGAGCGGCAGCTGCAGGTCTCCCCTGCGGGCAGGGCCACCCCATCCTGCGGCCGCTGCGCACTCACCTGTTGTACAGCAGCCGCTTGAAGTCCTGGAAGAGGGCGTCTCTGTTCTTGTCGATGAAGCCCAGCACGGAGTACCTGGGGGCCCGGGGCGTGAGCGGCTGGGGCCACCTCCCCCGCCCTGTCCTCTCCCTCCCGGACCCTGTCCTCGCAGGCCAGCCTCTCCCTCCCCGGCCCTGACCTCGCAGGCCAGCCTCTCCCTCCCCGGCAGTTTCTCTCCTAAAGAGCGTCCAGAGGTTGTGCTCTGGCTCTGGACCCAAATCTCATAGCCCTGAATCCTGCTCTAGCACCTACATGCTGTGTGGCCTGGGACAAGTTACTGAACCTCTCTGTGCTCAGAAAAGCGCCTGGGCATCAGCAACTGCATTACAGCCAGGAACTCCCAAGTCACGGTCTGGTTTTGTGTGTGTGTGCTTGTTTTTAAAATATATTTTTGCCCTGGCTGGTGTGGCTCAGTGGATAGAGTGTTGGCCTGCAGACTGAAGGGTCCCAGGTTTGATTCCCGGTCATGACCAGCTTGCGGGCTCAGTCCCCAGTGGGGGATGTGCAGGAGGCAGCCGATCCATGATTCTCTCTCACTATTGATGTTTCTCTCTCTCCCCTTCTCTCTAAAATCAATAAAAATACATAAAAATTAAAAAAAAATTGGAGGGGGCAAAAGGGAGGATGGAAGGTGCGATGGGGACCTTACGTGACGTCCCCCGCGTAGTGCTTGATCCGGAAGTCCCGACCGAACTCCATGGTCTTGTCCGTGGGGCAGAGCTGTGGGGGGACAGCCAGGGTCAAGGGGTGAAGGGGTCTGCAGGGCGGGGGGGGCAGTCTTGCAGGGGAGGCTGGGCCACACCATGGCCCTGCTGTGAGGGCAGCACCGGGACGAGCTGGGTGTGGGGGGCACCTGGCGGCTGGTGTAGTGCGGGTGGTGGCGGTGGTGCGTGTCCAGGCTCTGCAGGAAGATGCGGTCAGTGATGGTGCCCGCGCTGCAGCAGGCCTCGTCCAGCACGGCCAGGACGCCGCGGTGCGGCCGCTCCACCAGGTCCACGATGGTGGCGTTGTTGAAGAACTCCACCTGGGAGAGTGAGGTAGAGCGGGCGGGGACTCGGGGCCGGGCCCACAGCGCCCCCACCAGGCCACAGGGCGCAGGGCGGGCACTCACGGTCTGCCAGGCGATGCCCTCGCGCTCGTACTCCTCCTGCTCCTGCTTCAGGATGAGCTGGATGAACAGCTGCTGCAGCTTCTCATTGCAGTAGTTGATGCAGAACTGCTCGAAGCTGGGCCAGGCCGCCAGCGTCATGCTGGGCCGTGGGCTCCCACCGCCTGCCCAGCCCAGCCCCAGCCCCAGCCCAGCCCAGCCCAGCCCCAGCCCAGCCCAGCCCAGCCCCAGTCCCAGTCCTAGCCCCAGCCCAGCCCAGCCCAGCCCCAGCCCGGCCCGGCCCAGCCCAGTCCAGCCCAGCCCAGCCCCAGCCCCAGCCCAGCCCAGCCCAGCCCAGCCCCAGCCCAGCCCAGCCCCAGCCCCAGCCCCAGCCCCAGCCCAGCCCAGCCCAGCCCAGCCCAGCCCAGTCCAGCCCAGCCCCAGCCCCAGTCCAGCCCAGCCCAGCCCCAGCCCCAGCCCCAGCCCCAGCCCCAGCCCAGCCCCAGTCCAGCCCAGCCCCAGTCCAGCCCAGCCCCAGCCCCAGTCCAGCCCAGCCCCAGCCCCAGCCCAGCCCAGCCCAGCCCAGCCCCAGCCCCAGCCCAGCCCCAGCCCCAGCCCCAGCCCCAGCCCGGCCCAGCCCCAGCCCGGCCCAGCCCGGCCCAGCCCAGCCCAGCCCCAGTCCCAGCCCCAGTCCCAGTCCCAGCCCAGCCCAGCCCAGCCCCAGCAGCGCGCCTGCAGCGAGCTCACAGGGCCCAGCGCCAGGCCCCCATGGCCTCACCGTGGGTGCCTCACGAGATAGTCCCTTCCTTTGCCCCCAGCAAGGGGAAGTGAGCTCGGGATTTTCCCTTCCCGGCACCACTGACCGGGGAGCGGGGGGCACCGCGGAGGCAGCTTGGCTATGACCCTGGGGTCAGGGACCAGCCAGGACGGACACCAGAAGACATCTTACTCCCCAGCCAACCCAGCTCCCCAGGACAGCGGGGGGCCCTGGTGGTTGGGGTCGGAGCTGGGTCTCCCACCTGTTGACAGGGAACACTTCGAAGCCGTAGATGTCCAACACACCAATGACCGTGTCCTTGCCGTCCCGCCGGGCGTCCCTGCCCCGGGGCTCCATGACGCTGTTGATCCGGTTCACCACCCACTCAAATAGCCGCTGGTACACTGCCTGGGGAGAGCTGGGCTGCTTCGGGCTGCATTTGACTTTGCCTCCCCCAGGAAGGCCTCCTGGGTTCCTCCCCAGGCTGCCTGTCCCCAGGGTACCTTGGCGCCGGCGTCCCGAGCGTAGCTGGCCTCAGCCGCAGTGTGGCCCTTCTCGATGACTTCCCTGCCCCCCGAGGCCACGGTGCGGGACAGCAGGCAGCGCAGCACCTGCTCCCGGGGGGTGGCCGTCAGCTCGGCCACGTGGTCCACCAGCACCTCCTCGGCCACAGCCAGGGGCCCCTCCTCCATCTCCACAAACTCGATATTTCCCTGGCGATGGGGAAACCGGGAAGTCGGGCTGCACGCCCCAGGCCGGGAGGAGCCTGCACACCTTTGCCCCGGGAAGGAGCAAGGGCTGGCAGGGACTCAGCCCGAGATGAGGGCCCAGCAGCCAGAGGCTCCCTGCCAGCCCAGCAGCCGGCTCTGTGCTCCCTCCCCCCCCACCTCAGAGAGGACGCAGGCTCAGAGCGCCGCCCCAGCCACACCGCTCTCGAGAGTCAAGCACCAGCAGGTCCCCACGTGCTCCGCTTCCTGGTGGGGACGCCCTTGCCTGCTGTGTGGGCTCGGCCACCAGACACGGACCAGGCAGCTGGCAGGCTGCATCCTGGGCACACGGGGCCCATGGCTCGGGGTGTCTCAAGGGAGCCCACAGCCCAAGCAGCTGCGGGGGGTGGGAGGGGGGCAGCTCTGTGGCTGCATTGTCAGAGGCCAGTCTTCCCCGCCCCCGGGGGCGGTGCAGCGACAGGACAGCAGGTGGAGGTGCCCAGCCCAGGCAGCAGGCTCACCAGGTGCAGGATGGCGGCCAGGATCCGGCGCACAGACCCCATCTCCTCAGCACTGAAGCCGATCACCTGCATGGCCTCCATCACCGCCCGGTGCTGGCTCCTCTCCTCGCTCTCCGAGGCCTGGGGGAGAGGGGGCTCAGCACCCGGCGCAAGCTCACCCACTGCGTCCTGCCCCCAGGGCCTGCAGGTCCCCCGACGGCCAGCACCCGCGCGCTGGGTGCCCACTCACACTGAGCCCTGCGCCCTGGCGGGTGAAGCTGTACAGGGCGGGGTTTCTCTGCAGGTGCAGTTCCTGCAGCTCTGCGTCCTCACAGCCGCGCAGCACCTGTGGGACACACCCTGGGGTCAGGCCCTGGGACAGCACAGAGGTCCCTTCAGCCCGGGTGACCCCGCCAGCCAGGGGAGCTCGTGGCGGCATGGACACGGCCCTGGTGCAGGGAGAGCCCCTTCAGGCTCAGGCGCACAGTGGACGCCTCCAAGGTCCAGGCAGAAGGCACCGCAGGGGCAGAGGCAGGCGGCTGTGTCCAGGGCCACCCACCCCAGAGAGAGGGCGAGAGGGGCGGGAAGGGGCTGCCCTGCCTGCCCACCTGCCTGCCTGGCTCACCTGATAGAAGGCGTGGAAGTTCCTCTCACCCACGTGCTGCTTGAGGACCCGAGACTGCGGAGAGAGGGGAAGCTGGGCCCGTGTCTGGGTGGACAGGGACCCCAGGGGACAGGCCCCAGAGCCCCAAGGCCGTGCAGGGAGCAGAAGGGCTGGCCTGGCCACAGAGGGAGCCCCACCCTGTGCATCTGGGACATCGAAGAGGGGGAGTCCCTGCCCCAGGGCCGTGGGCCTCAGGGAGGCCTGGGCAGCACCTTTTCTTTTCTTTCTTTTTTTTTAAGGGCAAGTTTGGCTCCTTAATTCTCTCGTCTTTTCTTATTTATTTACTAGAGGCCCAGTGCATGAAATTCATACATGGGGGTCCCCTCAGCCCGGCCTGCACGCTCTCCAATCCGAGATCCCTTGGGGGATGTTCAACTCCCTCTCACAATCCGGGAGTGCTGGCTTCTGACCGCTCACCTGCCTGCCTGCCCGATCGACCCTAACTGCCACCCCTGCTGGCCTGGTCACTCCTAACTGCCTCCCCCCAACCCCCTGCTGGCCTGGTTGCCCTTTACTGCCCCCCCTGCCGGTCTGGTCACACCCAACTGCCCCCCTCTGTCGGCCTGGTCACCTCTAACTGCCCCCCCCCACGGCCTGGTTGCCCCAAACTGCCCCCCCCCACGGCCTGGTTGCCCCCAACTGCCCCCCCTGCCGGGCTGGTCACCCCACGCAGCCTGCTGTTTGGTCGGCCATCTGGTGGTTTTGGTCATATGGCCCCTGGCTTTTTATATATTAGGATTTTAAGCCTCACCCAAGGATATTTTTCCATTTATTTTTAGGGAGAGTGGAAGAGGGAGGGAAAGACAGAGAGAAACATCAATTGGTTGGCTCCTACACACGCCCTGACCAGGGCCCAGGCCACGGAGGAGCCTGCAACCGAGGTATGTGCCCTTGACTGGAATCGAACCAGGGACCCTTCAGTCCAAGGGCCCATGCTCTACCTACTGAGCCAAACTGGCCAGGGCCAACCCACCTTCTCCAGCAAGTAGCTGTGGATGTGCCCCCCGACGGGGTCGCCCTTGAAGTCGAAGTTGATGTCCATGTACTTGCCGAAGCGGCTGGAGTTGTGGTTGCGGTTGGTGCGGGCGTTCCCGAAGGCCTCCAGCACGCAGGTGGACTTGAGCAGCACGTCCTTGACCCTGAACGGGGCGCAGGGTGGGGCTGCATTGCAGAGACCTCGAGCCGGGGACCTGTTTATCCTATGGTGTCCCGGGCTGAGACCGCCCGCGCTTCCCCTGCAGGCTGAGGGCCCCGCCGGCCCCGTGCCAGGCCAGGTCACTGCCCGCTGGCCACGGTGCCCAGAGGCATCTTCCCCAACAGCCCCACACCACTCCACGTCACAGGAAGAGCAGGTTCCCCCACAGGAAACCGCTCCTGCCAGGCTGGGGAGCAAGCCCTGCTTTCCAGCTCCCAGCCTCACCGGTTCCTGGCTGGGCCCCCGGGGCAGGCCACCTTCTCCCCAGTGGCAGGTGCCCCTGCGCTGGGCCTCCCCTCCCCTCGCCCGGGACTCAGGGGGGTCTCCGCTCTCCAGTCCCCGCCCAGCCCGGCCGCCTCACCTCTCCACCTCGGCCCTCTGGCTGGGGTTGGTGACGGCCGCGATGTACTGCATGATGTGCTTGCTGGCCTCCGTCTTCCCCGCCCCGCTCTCCCCTGCGGACAGATGGACGGACAGGCAGAGTGGGCGCCTGCGGCCTGGCCCCCTCCTCTGGGGTCCTCCCACCACCAGGGCGGGTACCTGAGATCACGATGCAGGTGTCCCTGGCCCTGCGCTTCATCGCCCGGTAGGCGGCGTTGGCCACGGCGTACAGGTGGGGCGGCCGCTCGTACAGCTCGCGGCCCTGGTACCTGGCGATGGCCTCGGGCCCGTAGAGGGGCAGCTCCTGGTAGGGGTTGACGGACACCAGCACCTCGCCGATGTAGGTGTAGATGCGGCCCTTCTGGAACCTGGGGGGGCAGGGCTGCTCCTCAGCCCTCAGGCGAGGCCCAGCACCCAGCTCCCGGGCCCTGCCCACCCGGGAGAAGGGAGGGCGGTGGCCCTGTCCCCCGGAGCCCACCCCACTGCTCCCCATGGGCCCTGATGGCACAGGAGGAGTGGCCCCCATTTTAGGAAGGGACTGGACTTGCCCAGAGCCACCCTGGGCCAGCAGGTAGGAAGGAGACGGGCTGGAGGCAGAGGGAGGGGCCTCCGCTGTTTCCTGTTGGTCTGGGGCCTGGGCGGGGACCCAGTGGCAGAAAGGAGCCCCGCCCAGCCCCACCCAGATGGCAGGGCCTGGGAGGGGTGCAGGCAGGGAGCCCCCAGCACATCCTGACCTCTCAACCCTGACCTTGGGGAACCGGCCACCAGCGGGGTGCCTGCTCCCCGGGGTGTATGGGAGCTGCCCTTCCCCTGCACCTATCGGGGTTCCTCTTCCTCAGCCGCCTCGCCTCTGACTGTGGGGGTTCCCTGGCTGCACCCTCTCTGGGCACCCAGCACCCTCGCGGATGCTTTCTTTTGTGCCCCAAGTGGCTGAGTGGCCGGGCTTAGCATCTGGGTGGGGACGGGGACGGGGACGGGGAGGCCGTCCCATGAGCCGGTTCGTGTGAATGAGCTGCCATCGAAAGAGCTCACTCTGTCCCCGACCCCACAACCTGCCAGGGGCCGCCTGCCTTCCGCCCCCGCCCGCCCCATCACCACCTGATCCCCCTCCTCCCTGCCCTCTGCCCTCCTCCTTTGGAAACTGGGCCCCAGGTCACGCTCCCAGTTGTACCCTGCAGCACCCCACACTCCCCCCAAGACTCATTCAGCTGCCCACTCCCTCAGAGCACCCAGGGCTCAGCCGGACCCCACGCGGGGGATGGGGTGCCCACCCATCTGGGAGCTGGTTTGGGTGCTGGGCAGGAAATCATGGCTTGTATGGGAGGCAGGGGCCTGGGGAGTTGGTGCCAGCATTGGCCAGCCACCTGGCCCTGAGGGGTCAGTCCTGCCTGGCTGCCAGGCCCCCCTGCAGTGACCCAGGCCCAAATGGGGGCCTGGGTGGCTGTGTGTCCCTCCCCCCCCTCCCCCCGCCCCCGCCCCCGAGGGATTGGGGAGCAGGGAGCCGGCCTGGGCCCACCTGAGCTTCAGGTTCTCCATGAAGTCTTCCATGGTGACCTGGTCCAGAAGCACAAAGTCTGCTTTGCCGCACTCAGCGCCTTCCTCGTCCTCCATCCTGCTGGGAGCACCCAGAGCCCAGGCCAGGTCGCCAACCTTCCCGCGCAGGGCGCAGGGCGGAGGGAGCAGGCCCGGCCTCTGCCCACAGTTCTCCCCGCCACCTCCCCGTGTGGTGAAGTAGGAAGTGGGTTCTGGCCCGGGAGGGGCTGCCTCCCTCCCTGAGGGGCTCTGACCCCTGCTTCCTGGGCGGGCCCCTACGTGCGGCAGGCCGGTGGGAGGTTCCTCCTGGCCTCGGAGGAAGCCCACCCCATCTCCACCCGCCCTCACCCAGCAGCCCCTTACCCAACAGCGGCCGCCCAGGCCCCAGTCCCACCCCAGGGAGTCCCCTGCAGCCCAGAGGGAAGATTCCTGTCACCCAACCCCACGTGGCTGTCAGCTCTGACCCGGGCCTGGTGGGTGCAGGGTGGGCACAGGGCCCCGTGGTGACAGTGGGAAGACACCGTGCCCTGGCCTTCGGGGCAGGGCCCAGACAGGAACAGTCCTTGGTGTGGAGACGCCAGGAGGTGAAGGACAAGACCCGCTTTGCCTGGGACCTGCCGTAGGGCGAGCGGGGCCGGAGTCACCTGCCCATGTGCCAAGTTTCCACCCCCTCGAGTACCTTAAAACAAATACAAATTTAATCAAGTTGGAAAGTGCTTATCCCAGAGCCGGGGAAACCAGGTGAGCTCCCAGCAGAGCCTTCGGCTCCACCCTGGGGGGTCCCCTGGGGCACCCCGTGGGCTGGTGTTTTTGAGGGCCTTTCCAACTCGAAGCCAGGGAGAACCTGGGGAGTTCTGGGCGGGCCTGTGGCAGTTTCATTTCCCAAACCCCGGGGTCAGCATCCCGGGTTTGTATCAACACTCAGAAGGGACGACCGGCTGTCCCCATGGAACGTCAGGAACAACGAAACCTCAACTTGGCAACATTTTCAGGTCAGGGACACAGCTTCCAGGCCTCGGCTCTGGACTGAGCCTCACCGGGCCCTCCACCCCCAGCTTCGGGGAGGGAGCCCCACCCACTACCTCATTTCCGAGGGGAGTGACAGAGCACCCAAGGCCTTCCCTTCCTGGGCCGGCGGGTCCGCCGCAGGCTTGTCCTGGGCAGACAGGTGGTGGCCTGACCCTCAGCTTCCCTGCAGGGCAGGTGGAACCAGCAGGAGTGGGGGCAGCAGGGCTCCTCTGGACCACTTTCTTTTTTAAAAAAATATATTTTTGTTGATTTCACAGAGGAAGGAAGAGGAAGAGAGAAACATACATCAATGGTGAGAATCACTGATCCGGGGATCGAGCCCGCAACCTGGGCACGTGCCCCCGACCGGAATCGAACCCAGGATCCTTCAGTCTGCAGGCTGACACTATCCACTGAGCCAAACCAGCCAGGGCTAATAATTATTTATTGTTTAAAGTACAACCTATGTCCCCCTTTTCCCCTCATTAGCCTCCCACCCAACCCCCACCACCCTACTGTCTGTGTCCCTGGGGTATACATACCCGCATGCAAGGTCTTGGGTTGGTAACCTCCCACCCACCCACCCGCCCCCGCCTTCCCTCCGAGATTCCGCACTGTCCCACACTCCTGTCCTCTGGACCACTTCCAAGATGCTTTCCCCTGGAGATGCCAAGCTGGCAGCACAGCCTGGCCCTTGGCACCTGCAGGCCTGGCTCCAGCTGGTCTGAGGCCACCTCTCTCCCCCCGTTGGTCAGGAGGCCCCTCCTCTGGGCCTCGGTGTGGCTGACCGACCTGACTCGGTGCAGGACCTGCAGGTGCCCTCCCATTCACCCTCACTAGCCAAGTGAATGTGAAACCAGCTCCGTCAGCCCGGCCCTCACTCCTAACCACGTGGGCTTGGGCCAACCTGTGTGCACAGCAGTGGCTGCAGCCAGCACTTGTCAAATGGAGCCGACGCTGCAGGTGCCTTCCCGCCCCACAGAGGCAGGACCCACCCCGGGACCTCAGGCCAGTGTCCGAGAACAGTCCCCTCCCACGTGAGGGCAGGGAGGCACCTCAACCCGGCCCCGCGCCTTCAAGGAGGCGTCTTCCTCTTTGCGCCGCACTTTGGAAAGCAGAGAAACGGGCTGGACTCGACACTCATTTGGAACCTGTTTATTAAACGCCCATTTCCCACTCAGATGCCAGCGGGATGCAGACGGAGACACAGTGCCAAAACCTGGGGTCAGAGAATGCCAGTCAGAAGCCAGGCCTGGAGCCACCCAAGACCAGCCAAGAACCAGGAACCCGACTCCCTGCAGAGAGGAGCAGTGAGGGCGGCACCTCCCTGGGCATCCAGCTGCCAGCATCCACTTCATCTGTAAAAACAAGAAACTGCTGGGAAAACTCAGCAACGAAAGCACACGGCCAGAGCAGCCTTAAACCACCCTGGGCTCCCACTCCTGACCTAGAGGTTCCCGGGGAAAGGATGCAGGTCGAATCCAAAACCAAAGGCAATCAAATGCCTGGCAGACTCACTCTAGGGCCCCGACTCCAGCAAGCTGTCCCCCACAGCCTCCTGGGACACTCACCTGACCTCCAGGAGGAGGAGCCAGCCTCAGGCCCTCCAGGGAAGAAGACTCTGCTAGTCCAGGGACTTCCGTGCTGAGACACTGGGGAGGGAGGACCGCAAGTGCCCTGCGCTGGCAGGGAGGCAGCAGTCCCCAGGCCGAGGCTGACAAGGTGGTCCCGCCAGGTTCACGGGTGCCCTCCTGGGAGGAAGCCCAGAGGCCGAGCGAGAAGCAGCTGGTGAGTCCCATCGGCACCGGCACCAGCACCGCTCCCACCCCCACGGCGAAGCGGGTGAGCTGGGCGCCCTGCCCGCAGGGGCCAGAGTGCTGACCACGGAAGGGCACACTAGCTCTCTGCCCGGGAGGGGCTCCCTGGTCCGCCCGACACTGTTCTGCAAAACCTCGGGACAGCCAGAGCCTCACCCCCAGAACCGAAGGAACACGAGACTCATGGACAAACCAGTGTCTCCCAGTGGCCACTCTCAGAGGCCAGCGTGTCCAACGTCTTCACTCAGGAGTCCCCTGGAAGGCAGAGTGGGACCCTGCTGGCCACTCTTTCCGTCCTGCCCACCCCTGATTGCACCCAACAGCCCTCACATCAAGGCAAGGACACAGGGCACCCCCTCCCTGTCTGGTGGGCTGGAGGCCTGGTGTCCACTCGCCACCTGCCAGTTCCGGCTGGATGAGCCCGAAGAGCGAATTTGAGCAGAAGACGCCGCTGTCTGCCTTGGCCTCCCCATGAGCACCGAGGGGTGGTGCCTGCACTGTATGGTGCACACTGCCCGCTGGCCGGAGATGGCCAAGGTGAAACCAAAGGCTCAGGGCATGGCCCGAGCAGGTGCTAGACCAGCCGTGGGCAAACTACGGCCCGTGGGCCGGATCCGGCCCGTTTGAAATGAATAAAACTAAAAAAAAAAAAAAAAAAGACCGTACCCTTTTATGTAAGGATGTTTACTTTGAATTTATATTAGTTCACACAAACACTCCATCCATGCTTTTGTTCCGGCCTCCGGTCCAGTTTAAGAACCCATGGTGGCCCTCGAGTCAAAAAGTTTGCCCACCCCTGTGCTAGACAAAAGGGCTCACAGCGGAGGGCGACTGCCCAAGGCTGGCCCCTCCACCGGCACCATCCTCAGCAGCCCAGGAGCTGCTGGCACTCGGCGTGGGACCCAGCCACGGCCGGGGTGTGCAGGCCCCAGGAGGAACACACAGCACCAAGTCCCTGCCAGCGTCCCCCTTGCAGGGTCCCTCACAGAAGCACAGCAGGTAAAGAGTCCAGCCAAACCGGCCAGGAGAGGCAGGGCCCTTTTCTAAAGGCAGTGACCGGGCCTGAAGTCTGCCCTTCCTGACCCACTGCCACCCGGCTCCGCCCGCTGCAGGGCCCACAGGCCACCTGTGTGGACACAGCGCGGGCTTCCAAGACTGAAGAAGGGATGTTCACCCCCAGCTCCTTGCCTGCCGGGGTCACTGTGGCCTCTGCCTACAGCCCTGCCTTTGTCAAGGTCACCCTCTCTTCCAGAAATGTCCTTGCCATTCGGGTTTCCTACGCCCTGCTCCCACCTTCATGCTGATGCCCGTAGGAGACCGTCAGATGGCCCCAACCAGAGTGTTCTTGTCTCCTGCTGGGACCCCGACTATCACAGCCACCAGCCCATCTCAACAAGCAGTCCTGCCTCTGGGCCAGTGGTCGGCAAACTCATTAGTCAACAGAGCCAAGTATCAACAGGACAACGACTGAAATTTCTTTTGAGAGCCAAATTTTTTAAACTTAAACTCTATAGGTAGTTACATTATTATTAACTTAATTAGGGTCCTCCTAAGGCTTAGGAAGAGCCACACTCAAGGGGCCAAAGAGCCGCATGTGGCTCACGAGCCGCAGTTTGCCCACCACGGCTCTGGGCCGAGGCGTGGACAGACCATGTGTCCCCACAGCCTCCCCCCAGCCAAGTGTGAGACCGCTCTCTGCAGGCCGCCTGTCCCCCCGCCCCCACTCCGTGGGCTCCAGATCACTGGTCCGCCTTCTGGGTTCCGAGTCCCAGTGGCTCAAGCCGGAGCCTCGCCCCCCCCCAGGGCACCCTTCCTTTATGACTTCACTCACTGAAGTCACTGGACAATGCTGAACGTTCTACCCCAGAGCTGGGGCCTCCAGGAGGCAGGGACAGCCGCCCGGCCAGCCCAGAGGACTCTCCAGTAGACGGGGACACCGCTGGCCCATGTCTCACAGGGGTGGAGGGCAGCTTCAGAGGCACGGGGTGCTCCTGGCACCATGGATGATGCCGCCGTCCTCAAGCGACGAGGCTACATCCTGGGGATAAATTTGGGAGAGGGCTCCTACGCGAAAGTCAAATCCGCGTATTCCGAGCGCCTGAAGTTCAACGTGGCGGTCAAGATCATTGACCGCAAGAGAGCCCCCACCGACTTCTTGGAGAAGTTCCTTCCCCGAGAAATCGAGATTCTGATCATGCTCAACCACCGCTCCATTGTCAAGACCTACGAGATCTTCGAGACGTCAGAGGGCAAGGTCTACATCATCATGGAGCTCGGGGTCCAGGGCGACCTCCTCGACTTCATCAAAAGCCGGGGAGCCCTGCGCGAAGACGATGCTCGCAAGAAGTTCCACCAGCTCTCCTTGGCCATCAAGTACTGCCACGACCTGGACATCGTCCACCGGGACCTCAAGTGCGAGAACCTGCTCCTCGACAAGGACTTCAACATCAAGCTGTCCGACTTCGGCTTCTCCAAGCGCTGCCTGCGGGACGAGAGCGGCCTGCTGATCCTGAGCAAGACCTTCTGCGGGTCGGCGGCCTACGCGGCCCCCGAGGTCCTGCAGGGCATCCCCTACCAGCCCAAGGTCTACGACATCTGGAGCCTGGGCGTGATCCTCTACATCATGGTCTGCGGCTCCATGCCCTACGACGACTCCAACATCAAGAAGATGCTGCGCGTCCAGAAGGAGCACCGCATCAACTTCCCGCGCTCCAAGCACCTGACGAACGAGTGCAAGGACCTCATCTACCGCATGCTGCAGCCGGACGTCAACCGGCGGCTGCACATCGAGGAGATCCTCAGCCACACCTGGGTGCAGCCCAAGCCCCGGGGCCTCAGCAAGGAGGGGGTGGGCCTCCTGGGCACTGAGCCCCCACAGGTCCCGGAGCCCTCTCGGACCCTTGAGCCCTTGCAGACTACCGAGCACTCTCGGACTCCTGAGGCCTCGATGACTACCCAGCGCTCGCGGACCCCTGAGCCCTCGCAGACTACCGGGCACTCTCGGACCCCTGAGGCCTCGCGGACCCCTGAACCCTCGCAGACTACCGGGCACTCTCGGACCCCCGAGGCCTCGCGGACCCCTGAGGTCTCTCGGACGACCGAGCCCGGCTCTGACAAGAAGTCTATCTCCCACCAGGAGCCCCAGGAGGAGGCACAGCCTGAGGTGGTGCCAGAGCCAAAGCCCCAGGAGGAGATGGAGCAAGGGCTGGTCTCCAGGCAGCTGGAGAGCACAAGCCTCCTCGCCCCAACAGGGCAGCGGAGCAGGGAGACAGTGGAGGGGCGCTCTCCAAAGCCCCCGCAGACCCAGTGAGCCTCTCACCGGGCCCAGGGGCTGGCAGGGAAGGAGGCGGAGACGCAGCTTTGAGCCTGGGCTCCAGACAGGTGAGACCCAAGAGGTGAAGGACAACCCCCAGATGAGCCACTATTTTTGTCAATTTCCCCCCTCCCTTTGAACATGCTATTGAAGCAATAAATCACTATATTGGTCCATAAACTGGGTGTAGGGTTAATGAGTTTCAGCCAACATCACTGCCCGCCTCTCCCACGGCCCCCGGAGCCCACAGCCATCCATGCACTGCAGAATTTAGCCTGTGGTTCTCCAGGTTTGTCTCTGGGACCCTCAGTCCCTCAGGGTAGGGCTTGTCCCCCTTGCTGCTCCCTACTCCCACTCCCCGCAGCTGACCTGCCTCCACTCCTCCACTCCCCGAGCTTTCTTTTTTTAAAAGCTATGATTTTTTTAGAATATATTTTTATTTATTTCAGAGAGGAAGGGAAAGGGAGAGATAGAAACATCCATGATGAGAATCATTGATCCGCTGCCTCCTGCACTGGGGATAGAGCCTGCAACCCAGGCATGTGCCCTTGGCCAGAATCGAACCTGGGACCCTTCCGTCTGCAGGTCGACGGTCTATCCCTTGAGCCAAACCGGCCAGGGCTCCCTGAGCTTTCTTGTCTGTGTCTGTGAGGCTGTTCAGGATATGATCAAAAGCCCAAAACGCTTTCTGCAAACACATGACTGTTGTGTGACCTGCACTGCAGTCCAGTGGCACTTGCCCCGCGTTGCTAGTGGGCACCTGGAACGTGGTTGCGGTGAATGGAAACGGAACTTAAAATTGCACTTAAGTTCAACCCTATGTGGCAAGTGGTCACCACGGGACAGTGCAGTTCCAGTGTCCAGCACGCTGGCACCTGGAGGGGAGCAGGCGATGTCTGAAACTTCTATAACCTCGCTCCGGACGCAGCAGGGCGAGGCCTCAAACCGTTCCACAGTGTTCTCGCAAGCACGGCAGGAATGCACAGGGCCACCCCAGACCCCAGCACGCTGGAGGCTTGCAGCCCCCGCCCCGCCCCGCCCCGCGGTGCCCAGGAGTGGCGGTGGGTTGCCTCCAGGAGTCCCGGAGCGGCAGCCTTATCCATGGATGTCACTCCCCGCCATTCCAGCTCTACTTACCGGACTCGGGGGCATCCGTGCCGTCACGTCACTGCCACACACAGCCTGGCTCCCACGGTCTTCCGCAGGTGGGCACAGCCTAAGTAGGGGCGGTGACCACGGTCCCTGAACCGGGGCGGGGGTGCAGCACTCGGGCGCCGGAGCACGGCTGCGGGGGGCGTGCTCAGCTCCGGAGGCCTCGAAGCCGGGCTCGCTCCCCCGGGAAGCCGCCCCCAGCGCGTCCCTCCCACCCCCAGGCCCACGTGTCCGGGTGGGCCGGGCCCGGTCGGAGGCCCCTGCCGCCCGCGCCCCTCACCCGTCTCCGCACTCGGCCGGCCCCGCCTGCGGCCCCCGATGGACTCGGATGAAGACGACAGCCGGGGGCATCCGGCAGAACCGCCGCACCGCACGCACCCGCCATGGCTACCGCCTCTCACGCCGCGCACGCCGATGTTGCGTCATCGCGCAATCCTCCGGAAGCGACAGGCGACGTCACGCAGCCCGCGGCCCAGGGGAAGTGACATTTCCGGGTCCAGGCCAGGGCCGGAGCGGGGTGGTTGCGCGAGTGGGTGGTTCCTGTGAGGACGGAGCCGAAGGCCGGGGCTCAGTGCGGCCGGGTGCGCCGCGAGCCTGCAGCCCGGGCGGCGGCGGGCGGGGCCCCGGACGGCCTGGAAGCGACCTTGTGAGGAACGGAGCAGGGGCGCCCGCAAATGAAAGCGGATGTTGGTCCGCCCTGTTCCAAGTAGGACCCCTTTGCCTGCAGAACTCCAGTCTCTGCCCTTTTCAAGGGAACGCACATCCCTAATGGCTCGTCCCACAGTCCAGGAAGTCCCGGGAGGGCAGGGGCCCCGCTGGTCACCTGACTCCAGCCCAGCCGCACGGCCCCCGGCACCTCCTGCAGGCCGGGGAGTGCCAGGGGCCCAGCGGCACCCCGCAGAGCAGGGACAGTGCGGGGCGAGAGGCAGGATACGCAGCTGGCATGCTTCCCTCACGGAGGAGAACCAGTGGGGACAGACTGGCTCTTTGGGGGTCGGTTTACACGGTCTGTGCTGCAGCGCTCGTGCCGACAGGGGCGTGGCTTAGTGGCAAGGTAGCGGCCCGCTGCCTGACTCCGCTCGGCCATGTGCTTCCGGGCAAAGCACCGGTTCTGCTGGCTCTTAGCTCCCACGATGTGTGCTGTGCGGTGCGGACGTGTGAGTTAGCAACCTCGGGAGCTTCCTGGGTGTGGCTAGAAACTGGCTTCCTACGCGGGGGGCCGGGGACACAGGAGAGAGGCAGACCCCTCCGCTTTGGAAGGCGACAGATTGAACAAGCCGGGCAACGAATAAAAGGAGCTCAGGCTCACCTTCCGGTTAGCCCCGCCCCTCCTCCTCAGGCCCCGCCCCCAGGTCCATCCCTCACTTCCTGTCGCGCCCAGGGAGCCCCGCCCCTCCCTCCCTCGGGCCCCGCCTCCCCCAGGCCCCTCCTTCCCTTCCGGTGAGCCCCGCCCTCCCTGCCGACCCCGTCCTCCCACCCCGTCTGCCCGAGGTCGGCCTCCCAGGCGCGAGGCAGGCCGGGAAGTTGGCTGCCGTAAAAATGGCGGCGGAATCCAAAACCTGAAGCTGCTCCCGCGACCCCGAGGGGCAATGGGCGGGCTGGGGGCGGGAAAGGGGCGCCACAGATGCGCTCCCGCGGCCCCGAGCAGGGCGGGCGCCATCCCGCCGCCCCAAAGGGCTGGGGGCGGGGCGTGCGGGGGGCGGGCCCGAGCCCTGGGCCCGGAAGTGCAGGGTGCGGGGTGCGGACGGCCCCTGGCGGCCGCGGGCGGAGACAGCGCAGGGCGGCGGGCGGGCAGCGCCGGAACGCGGCTGCGGCGGCCGCGGGGCCCGGGCGAGCATGTAGCGGTCGCGGGGGCGCGGGGCTCCCTGGGCGGGCCGGGCCGCGGGGACCGCTCGCGGCGACATGGAGGAGGAGGGCAAGAAGGGCAAGAAGGTGCGTCCTCCGAGGGCAGGCGGGGGGCCGGGGGGCCGGGCTGGGGGCCCGGGAGGCTCCCGCGGGCCGCCCTCCGCTCTGCGAGCGCGGGCGCGGGGCGGCCGGGGAGGGAGGTCGGGGCCGGGAGGACGGCGTGCGGAGCCCAGCGCACGGGCGGGCGGCGGAGCGGACCGCGGGGCGGAGGGCGCCCGGGACAATGCCGGCAGGGGGTTCGCCGCCGGCCGGCGCGGCGGGGGAGGAAGGAGCCACGCCTTTCCGCCCCTTCCGGCCAGCGACTCCCCCAAACCCAGGCTCTGCACATGGCCTGACCCGGGGGTGCGGACCGGGGCTGCGCGGTCCGGGATGGGGACCTCGGAGGCGGGGTCCGGGATGTGCGGAGCCTTTGCCGCTTCATGTCCTCAAGTTGCTGGCGCCGCGCGGAGCCAGATGCCGAGCCCCGCGGGCAGCGCACAGCGTCCCGACCGCGTTTCCCTCCCGCTGCCACCCGGGGGCTCGGGCCGCGGCGTTTCGCAGTCGGTTTTGGACGCGATGGCTCGGAGCCTCCTCGGTTCTGCGGTTTCTAAGGTGTGGCTCTGAGGACGGGCCGGAGGTGATACAGAAGCGCATCCTCTCCCGGAGCCCGAACAGCGCGCAGCGTAGGCTGCCGTTCCGGGGAAGTGGGTGTCGGTGAGATGTGTCTTTTCCGAACACAGGCTTTATAACCTGCTTCGGAGTCTCACCTACCACGTTGGCCTAGGTTCTCAACCTGTGGGTCGCGACCCCTTTGGAGGCCGAACGACCCTTTCACAGGGGTCGCCTAGGACCATCGGAAAACACATATATAATTACATATTGTTTTTGTGATGAATCACTATGCTTTCATTATGTTCCATTTGTAACAATGAAATTGGGGGTCACCACCACATGAGGAACTGTATTACAGGGTCGCGGCATCAGGAAGGTTGAGAACCACCGGTAGGAAGTGTGGCAGGTGTCCACTTCCATATAGAAGTTTAAAGCAGCCCTTGGTCAGCCCTATGGTCTTAGGTCAGAGCCCGCTGTGCCCCCCATCCATCACCTGCCTGACAAGGTGCCCCGCTTTGCAAAGGTGCATCTGAAGGGGAGTGTGGGCAGGTGGTGCTGCCTCTCACCTGTGTCAGCGGGAGTGCGGGAGCAGCTCCCTACAAAGCTGTTTTAGTCTGGATGCCCAGGCCAGTGGCCCGGCCCGGAGCCCCGGCCAGTGGCCCGGCCCGGAGCGGTCCTGCGGAGAGGCTGCCCACCGCAGACGGGGAGAGCTGGGGACCGAAGCTGGTAGAAGGCCCTGGGGGATTCAGGTCGCGCTCCTTCCGGCCCCAGAGCGCCAGGTACCCGGGCCTCAGGCCAGACTCCCTCCTTGCTCAGGAGAGTCGTGGGTTCGGGTTCGCATCCACCCAGGAAGGATGGGTCTGGCTGAGTTTCTTCTAGAATCTTCTATCAGCTTTGGTAGAAACGTTACGCCCTTTAGCAATATTGAGGGAAACACATTCCTGAGCTTTTGGAATAAAAGTGAAAAGCCAGTAAAACTCAGGAATTTGGGAGTTGTGGCCAGTGGAGAGATTCGGGTTCCTGATGGGTTTCCTTGTGCACCAGGCGTTCATTGTCTCGGTGGAGGAGACATAGTTGCCTGAGGCCAGAGAGCGCGCTTTCTCTGTTTCCTGCGCCTCACAGCTCATTTTCCCGCAGGCGGCTGGGCGCTGGGCGCTGGGACGAGGCTTCCTATCCAGGCCACCACCCAGCACACTTCACCTGCTGCTCCCGTGCCGGTCGCCGGTCGTGGTCGCCAGCCGGGGGAACCTTCCCGCTCTGCCCCCCCAGGCGATGCCGTTTTCATCGTGGTAAACTAAACCACATACACAGGTTCAAGCTGAAACAGCAGAAGTAATGACAATAACTTCATGAAAGTAGAGTTGGACATTTTTAAAAAAATACATTTCTATTGATTTCAGAAGGGAGAGGGAGAGATAGAAGCATCAATGATGAGAGAGAATAATCGTTTGGCTGCCTCCTGCACGCCCCCTACTGGGGATCAAGCCCGCAGCCCAGGTATGTGCCCTGACGGGAATCGAACCCGGGACCTCTTGGTCCAGGGATGGTGCTCAATCCACCGAGCCACCATAGCCAGGCCCGTTGGACATTTAACTTCTCTCCCAAGGTAGCTTCCTCAAAAACGCAGCTTTGCCCTGGCCGGTGTGGCTCAGTGGATAGAGCATTGGTCTGTGGACTGAAGGGTCCCGGGTTTGATTCCGGTCCAAGGACACATGCCCGGGTTGCAGTCTCGATCCCCAGTAGGGGGTATGCAGGAGGCAGCTAATTGATGGTTCTCTCTCATCCTTGATGTTTCTAACTCTCCCTTTCCCTTCCTCTCTCAGATCAATAAAAATATATATTTTTTAAAATGCAGCTTTAACTCTAACAGTGTGGGTGGTAGGCTCATTTGGGTCTCCGGACACTTGTCTTGGTGCTTGTCAAGCAGTTATTCAGGCTCATGCTAACGTGGTCTAATTCCCCAGGACAGGAAGCTGCCAGAGAACCAGTAGAACCCAGTGGATTCCATATAAAGTAGCCCCGGGTACAGCCCTGTCCTTTCTCAGGCTCCCCTGGCACGTAGGAGGAGGGTAGCTGGAACCCCTGCCATGTCCCATGGAAGACGCTGGGTGGTGGGGATGCAGGAGGGGCCTGCTCACGGGGTGGGGGTGAGCGTGGGGACAGAAGTCTGCTGGGGCCACGCCTGCGTGCAGTGTCCGCAGGGACTGGTGCCTTGTAGACCACACGTCCTGATTTGTGGCTTAGAGAACACACCTGCCTCCTTCCCAAGCGAACCCCAGTTTTGTGCGTCTGACACTATTCTGTCAGGATGTAACTCCTTTTGGTAAAAAACGTAGGTGTGCACTTGGGCTGGGCTGGGTACGTTTTTACAAAAGCCTTTGACTCGGTCGAGGATCGCAGCCGGGCGGGTGCCGCTGCGTGGAAGCCACGCCGGCTTCTGCCGCTTGAGCTGCTGCTGGCTGCAGCCGCCCTGCCCGTGGCCAGGAATTCCGTCTGAACAAGGTACACACCCCTGCGTCCATCTAGTTTATTCGCCTTCTTCACATGAGAGAGGAGGTGGTGAGGTGCCTGGGACGCAGGGCTGGGTCTCAGGTGGTGACGAGGGCTCACTGCTAGTCGTGCTGTGTTTGGTATTTGTGTTCCGTCCTGTTCTGATCTGAGGGGCGTCCATGCCGAGATGTCACAGGCGGACTCTGTGATTTGTGAGGTGAGTGTCATTCGAGCCGGAGGGGGAGGGAGACGGCTGGATGCTTGGCAGTGGGTGCTGTTACTGACTGTTCGTCTCCGTTGGTGAATTTCCGAGAATTTCCATATAAAAAGTGGGAAGAAGATCCCCTGGTTATGGCCCCAGGTCACCAGCCCCGGACCTGCCAGCTCACCTGAGTGTTGGAAGCTTGGCCTAGACCAGCGCCCGTTCCTTCTGTGATTCCAGCCCTGGCCAGCGGCTCAGTGGTTAGAGACCAGCCTGTGCACCCCAGGGTGGTTGGTTCTGTTTCTGGTCCAGGGCTTGAACCTGGGTTGTAGGTTCGATTCCTGGCCCTGGCTAGGGTATGTGCGGGAGACACCCAATCAGTGTCTCTCTCTCACATCATTGTTTCTCTCACTTTCTCTCCCTCTCCCTCTCCCTCCTGGCCACTCTCTAAAAATCAGTGGAAAAATATCCTGGGGTGAGGATTAACCCTTTGAGTGCCAACCAATATCCTAGGAAATATGCTAAAATTGCCAAGGCATTTTTGCTGATTTTACAGGAGTTTAGGAAAAAAATTATGAATCGCAAGTAAATGAAGTTACATATTCAAAAACTTAAGGAAACCTTTACTACATTTGTTTTCTGCACTTAGGTGCCATCTGTCAATAAAGAGTGAACTCCTAGCATCTAATATGACACTGCAGGAGGAGCGCCCGGCACTCCAGGGGTTAACCAAAAAAATAAACAAACTTCAGTGACTCCAGCTCCCAGGCAGTTGGATGGTGTGAGCTGGCGACTCCCCTCCACAGGTGAGCACGTGTGTGAACATGTGCATGTGAATGAACGTGTAGGGAACTGGTGCCTGGTTGCTCTGGGCTGCGTCTGGGTCGGCCGCTCAGCACGAGGCCCCCTGCATTGATCTCGGGGCGCTGATGCGCTTGGTGCCGTGGGGAGAGGGCTGAGGGCCGGGCATTTTGTTTGGAAAGTGAGCTGCTCGCACGCAGCGTCGGAAAGGCCAGTGCGGTGTGTCAGACGCGTGGGGCCGCCGTGACCCAGAGCCGCTGGCACGATGAGCTTGTCGCCAGCACTGACTGCGCGCTGGGTGCACGTGCCGGGGATGCGAGCTCAGGGCAGGCGGGGCCATGGGAACGGGCTTTGACAGGAGCGAGGAAGGAGCCTCTGTTACGAAGACAGCGAGCCCACCTGAGAGAGAACGTGGGATGCCCCCGGCCGCCTCACCATCGTCAGCGCGTGCCCACTTGGTTCGCCCGTGTCCTCCGCCAGCCCTGCTCCCAGGCTGAGCTGGACGTGGCCCCCCAAGTTCCGGGGTTGGAGCCTGGCCCGGCAGCTCAGCGTGGGTCTGTGTTTGGAGATGGCCTTTAACGAGGTGATGAAGGTTCAGTGAGGTCGGCAGGCGGCGCCCACCCCACAGGACCTGCGTCCCTATCTGAAGGAGACTTGGACGAGGAGCCAGGGGCGTGCTCGCAGGCGCCCGAGGACGGGAGCAGACCCATCTCCGCGCCCTGGAGGGAACGGGTGTCGGCTGCGGGTGCCCCATCTCTGGTCCCCTATCCCGCTGGGCTAGGGTGGCAGGTGATTTTGAAGCAAGCCCAGGACATCCCGATGATGGGACCGGAGTCTGGAGCGGTGGCCCTGGGCTGGGACAGGTCTCCATCGACCCAGACAGGCCCGGGCAACAGAAAGCGGTGGGACCACCTGCCCCCAAGAGCTGTCCTGAGCTCAGTCTAGCTCGATCCAGTGCCTCCTTGTGGGGCAGCGCTGTTCCTCATGTGCACCGGGTGTCCTATGTCGCAGTGTGAGGGTCGGAGACTGGACCTGTCATTCGGGTAGAAATTCAAGGATTGTTTTCTACTGGGAGCAGTGGCCACACGTGACAGTTTCCCCAGGACCCACACGTGACAGTCTCCCCGGGACCCACACGTGACAGTCTCCCTGGGACCCACACGTGACAGTCTCCCTGGGACCCACACGTGACAGTCTCCCCGGGACCCACACGTGACAGTTTCCCTGGGACCCACACGTGACAGTCTCCCTGGGACCCACACGTGACAGTTTCCCGGGACCCACACGTGACAGTTTCCCGGGACCCACACGTGACAGTTTCCCGGGACCACACGTGACAGTTTCCCGGGACCCACACGTGACAGTTTCCCGGGACCCACACGTGACAGTTTCCCAGGCCCACATGTGAGAGTTTCCCGGGCCCACACGTGACAGTTTCCCGGGACCCACACGTGACAGTTTCCCGGGCCCACACGTGACAGTTTCCCGGGCCCACACGTGACAGTTTCCCGGGACCCACACGTGACAGTTTCCCGGGGCCCACACGTGACAGTTTCCCGGGCCCACACGTGACAGTTTCCCGGGACCCACACGTGACAGTTTCCCGGGACCCACACGTGACAGTTTCCCGGGGCCCACATGTGAGAGTTTCCCGGGCCCACACGTGACAGTTTCCCGGGACCCACACGTTACAGTTTCCCGGGGCCCACATGTGAGTTTCCCGGGCCCACACGTGACAGTTTCCTGGGCCCACACGGTAGTTTCCCGGGACCCACACGTGACAGTTTCCCGGGACCCACACGTGACAGTTTCCCGGGGCCCACATGTGAGAGTTTCCCAGGCCCACACGTGACAGTTTCCTGGGCCCACACGGTAGTTTCCCGGCCGAGCATTGGTCTGTGGGATAATCAGATTAGGCGCCTGATCGCAGGCAGGCAGTAGGCGCGTGCGGTGAAAAGAATCCTTGCCAAGTGGAGGGTGGATTGGGCTTTTGTCTGAGGCTTAGGGTGGTGAACTGTGGCGGCTGGCAGCCCAGGAGGACGGAAGGCAGTGAGTCCGAACTGCGAGGAAGGTCGGCCCGACCAGCGTGTCGCTGCTGCTCGGGGCGACCCGGGTGGGCCTCTCGGTGGGCGGTGCGGCTCTCCTGTGTTGTCACTGTGAGAGGAAAGAGAAACTGCTAATCTGGCTCCATTACTCCTACAGTTTAAGATTACATGCTCGCCATTCCCAGACCCTTACCATGCCTCCTGTGTCATGGCCTTTGACTCCGTAGCTGGGTGTGGTCCCGGATATTAGGGTTACCAATTGCACGCCTCGCACAGGCTGCGGTCACCTGCCAGGAAGTGCGTCGGCCTGGCTGTGTCTGACGGCCACCACCCCAGCTGGTATGTCACTCGAAAGAGCTGGCACATTCCTGTTTGAGGTGCACACAGCAGCCCAGGCCCACCTGCCACTGTGCCCTCGATGTCAGACCCACCTCAGGTTTCGCTCCAGATCCTGCCCCTGACGGCGTCTCCAGCCCCCTGCTTGGACGGGGAGTATGCAGCCAGTCCCCCCCCCCCCCCCCGATTTTGTTATGAAAAATCTCGAATACACCAAAGTTGAATTTTACAGCAAATACCCATGCGCCCACCACCTCGACCTGCCATCAGCGTTGGCTGCGCCTGCTCTATCCTGTGTCTGCCCGTCTTCTGACCCCTCTGCCCATCCATCAGCCACCTGGTGCCTTTCGAAGCACACGCCACACACAGTTCACTGTGGTCTGACTACACGCGATGTAAACGCGTCCGTCCCAGCAGGGAGCCCGGCGGTGCCTTGGCCATGGTGTCCAGCGCGCTGGGCTGTGGGCAGTCGCGAGCGTCATGCAGACAGCACGGCCTTCAGGGTCCTGATGCGCCTGGGCGAGGCCTGACCCGGCCAGCAGTGTGGGCCTGCAGTGCCCTCGCTTCTGGTGTCCGTCTCTGAGTTAATTTATAATGCGACCCCAATAAAAATCAGGCTTTTTCTGGAACCAGACCACGTAACACTTATTTGTGTTACAAACAGGGAAGAACCCCAGGAAACCTGAGAAAACAGTCAGGAGGGTGCCCCACAGCCGGGCGCCTGGTGCCGATCCCGCAGGAACGGGAGGGGCTCTGCTCCCCATGAGGCTGAGGGCGGGGGGGGCCGCTGCCGTGGGGTCTGTGCACCCCAGTGGGCAGCTGGGTGCGTGTGCAGCAGGGTGAGCCGCAGTCGGTCAGAGACGCGAGTGAAAACTGACTGGCCATCTGTGTACAAACATGGGCGGGCCTTCAGCGACCTGGGGGACGGGAAGCTTTCCTCCCTGTTCCCCCAAAACCCTGAGGCAGGAGGGGGGTGACCAAGGGTCTAATAAGGTCAACATGCGTGAAAGAAAAGTCAAGGAAAATATTTGCCAGCTATGAAGCAGAAGGTAGCTCTCCCGTGGGCAAAATTTTCAAAGATAGAAACAGGCCGGTGGCCAGAGACAGGCAGGCAGGTGGGGACCGGCGGGTCCCAGGAGAAGACGGGTCAGGGGCCCCCAAACGTGTGACGAGGCAACACACGCGCACTTGTCCTGAGGGTTGCGGATTAGCCCCGGTGCCGGGTGTTGCCTCCTGTCGTTATTTTGAGCTGGAAGCAGACGGAAGCTGTGGTTCCGTCCTTCCGGCCGTCACCGGTGTCGGGGGAGGGTCACCATGTGGCCGTAACAGCCCAGGCGGCCGAGGGAGCAGGGGAGCACAGTGCCTGTCCACAGAGGGGGGGCCCGCTCCCCTGCAGGAGTTTCCCCACGGACGCCCCTGGGCGGGTCCATGGAGGGCGAGGTGGGTGCTGGCGGAGGGGGCCCCTCGGGGCCCGGCTCTGGAAGGCGGTGGGGGTTCCGGGAGTGAGAACCGGTCTCCGGGCAGACGGCGGTGAGGCGAGGAGCCGTGTGTGCTCACTGAGCCCAGGAATGAGGGCTCAGGTGCCAGCTGCTGGGCCTGTGCTTTCGGTCAGCGAGGACCCAGATCTGAGGTGGAAAATGACTTTGGAGAGAGGTCAGAGAAAGCGCATCCACAGCGAGGACCCGCCCGAGCTCTGTCCCTGCCGCCTGCGTGGGGAGCGGAGACGCCGGCGCGGTGCCTGGGGGGGGCATGGTGGCACGGTGGGCCGGGGTGGGGGGGCGCACCTGCAGGTCTGAGGGTGGGTGAGGCCTCCATAGCTCCCGACAGAGGCCTTCCTTTGGTCCCCCGCCCCATCAGAGTGTCCTGCTCCTTCCGGGGCTAAATGGGTCCTTTTGTCTTTTGGGGTCAAAGTTACAAGAGCATTTTGGTGATGAGGAACCTGAGTGCCCAGTAAAAATGCTTGTTGAGTGAAGATGAGTAATTGCAGGGCTACAAACACTTTGTTCCATTAAAAAGAGATTTTCAGTTCTTTTAAAAAAATATGTCTTAGCCCTAACCGGTTTGGCTCAGTGGCTAGAAGGTCAGCCTGCGACCGCAAGGTTCCGGGTTTGATTCTGGTCGAAGGTATGTACCTTGATTGCAGCCTGGGTCCCCAGGGTGGGACGTGCTGGAGACAGCTGATCGGTGATTCTCTCTCATCGATGTTTCTAACTCTCCATCCCTCTCCCTTCCTCTCTGTAAAACCAATAATATATATATATTTTTTAAAAAATGTTTTTATTGAATTTTCAGAGAGGAAGGGAGAGGAGAGAGAGATAGAAACATCGCTGACGAGAGAGAATCATTAATAGGCTGCCTCCCGCACGCCCCACCCTGGGAGGGAGCCCGAAACCTGGGTCGACGTTCAACCACCGAGCCGCCCGGCGCAATGAGAGTTTTAATAAATGTTGGACCTGCCTGCCTCTCAGGCCCTGGAGGGGAGCGAGCCCAGGGTTGGGAGACGCCGCGCCTGTGTTGTCCGGGGGAGTCTCCTCTTTCCGCCCTCTTCTGGCCGCTGGGAATCGGCCCTTGACCTTCCGAGTGCCTGAGAGCAGGTGAAGGCTGGCCCACCCCGCGTGGTCCCAGCGCGGCCACTTCTCGCAGAGCCTGTGCCAGCAATGGCTCCAGCCGCTGCCGTCTCTGCCCGCAGCCTGGCCTCGTGTCGCCGTTCAAGCGGGTCTTCCTCAAAGGAGAGAAGAGCCGGGACAAGAAGGCCCACGAGAAGGCGGCGGAGCGGCGGCCCCTGCACACGGTGGTGCTGTCGCCGCCTGAGCGCGTGGAGCCCGACCGGCTGCTGAGCGACTACATCGAGAAGGAGGTGAAGGTCAGTGCGCCCGCCCCCCCCCCCCCCCGGGTGCCCATCCGGGAGCTGGGGCCCAGCGCCAGGCTCTCCCCACGGTGGTGAGCGCCGCTTCTCGGCTTGTCAAGGGTTAGGGCTGCCTGCCTGGTGGGCACAGCCCAGACGCAGATCTCGGGGTGTCAAAGCCTGTGCCCGGGGCACTGGATGGACCCCCCAACTCGGTGGGAGCACGTGAGCAACAGCGCAGCTCAGGAGGTGGGAGAAGGAAGGAGACGCCGTGGTCAGGGAGCCGGGGCCAGAGCTCAGAACACGCCGTTGCCATCGCTTAAAGCGAACGCTGGGGTGCCTCACTCGGGTAGCCAAGCCAGGCCGGTTCCTGTGCCGACGCGGGCGCCGTGCTGTGGGCACCCACGGGCCGGAGCGGGTGACAGGCGGGCTCAGGACGGACACGCAGCTGGACACACGCCAGGTCCCAGCAGGACCCTGTGCAGGTGCAGAGGCGCTCGTTCTGCGTTCAGGGGGAGGAACGGGAGGCCGGCTGCTGCTCCCAGAGCCTCAGGGGTGACCTGCCGGCGCCTTTCCCGTGGGAGCGTCCCCGATGCGCACGTCTAAACGCTCGCGAAGGCGCTCGTCTGTGTGTTGTTGTTGCCCTGCGCCCGGCCCCCCGCGTTGGTCTCAGCCTCGGCCAGGCCAGTGCTCGGCACTTGGTCAGCTCCCCCTGCCGGGGGGGGGGGGGGGGCTGTGGGGGCCTGTGACCTCTGCGCCCTGCTCTCTGGTGGCCCCAGAACCTGGAAGACCTGTTGATTGTCAGGTTGTCAGGTTTTCTCGTGAGGCGGGACGGGGACCTCTGAGCTCTTGGCCTGATGAACAGGGCGGCGTCCAGGTCCCCTGTTGGGACAGCGACCTGCGTGGGCGAGTGGGCGATGGGGACGCCGGACGCTCCGGGTCACACTCAGACCCCACCCCCCACACGGGAGACAGCCTGGTGACGCCAGTCGTGGGCTGTCACATCGCGTCGGCGCCTCTCCGTGGCCGCCGCGGGGACGGAGTGTGGGCCGTGGCGCGGCGACCGGCTTTGTGGCTGCGTGAAGCCGGCCGGTGCAACTGGCTGACCCTCTCTCACGGCCTCTCCCGTCTCACTCAGTACTTAGGTCAGTTAACGTCCATCCCCGGGTACCTGAATCCGTCCAGTCGGACTGAGATCCTGCACTTCATAGACAACGCCAAGGTGACCCTCCTTCCACCCCGCCCCACCCTCGGTCTGCGTCACCTCCTAGCCCTGACCTCCGACCCTCGGCCTGCGTCACCTCCTAGCCCTGACCTCCGACCCTCGGCCTGCGTCACCTGCTAACCCTGACCTCTGCCCCTCGGCCTGCGTCACCTGCTAACCCTGACCTCTGCCCCTCGGCCTGCGTCACCTGCTATCCCTGACCTCTGCCCCTCGGCCTGCGTCACCTGCTAACCCTAGCCTCTGCCCCTCGGCCTGCGTCACCTCCTAGCCCTGACCTCTGCCCCTCGGCCTGCGTCACCTGCTAACCCTGACCTCTGCCCCTCGGCCTGCGTCACCTGCTAGCCCTGACCTCTGCCCCTCGGCCTGCGTCACCTGCTAGCCCTGACCTCTGCCCCTCGGCCTGCGTCACCTGCTAGCCCTGACCTCTGACCCTCGGCCTGCGTCACCTGCTAGCCCTGACCTCTGCCCCTCGGCCTGCGTCACCTGCTAGCCCTGACCTCTGCCCCTCGGCCTGCGTCACCTGCTAGCCCTGACCTCTGCCCCTCGGCCTGCGTCACCTGCTAGCCCTGACCTCTGACCCTCGGCCTGCGTCACCTGCTAGCCCTGACCTCTGCCCCTCGGCCTGCGTCACCTGCTAGCCCTGACCTCTGACCCTCGGCCTGCGTCACCTGCTAGCCCTGACCTCTGACCCTCGGCCTGCGTCACCTGCTAGCCCTGACCTCTGCCCCTTACGCTCTGGCAGCAGCTCCGGGTCCTCTGAGCTGGGCCTTCACAGTCAGACCCGGTGCCACCACATTCGGTTCCTCCGTCTGAACGTGCATTTGTCCCCAGACGTGCTCCTCGAGGTGCTGGCTGTTCACAATTAGCGTTTCCCAAACACCCAGACGCGCCCCGCGGCCGACTGGGAGCCCAGGGGCAGCGGGCGGGGCTCAGGCCTCTGCGACCTCTGTGACCTCTGCGACCTGACGCCCGTGTCCCCTCCAGAGAGCCCACCAGCTGCCCGGACACCTGACGCAGGAGCACGACGCGGTCATCAGCCTGTCGGCCTACAACGTCAAGCTGGCCTGGCGGGACGGCGAGGACACCATCCTCCGGGTGCCCATCCACGACATCGCCGCCGTGTCCTACGTGCGGGACGACGCCTCGCACTTGGTGGTCCTGAAGACAGGTGGGGGCCTGGGCGCGGGGGGTGGGGGGAGCCTGGTCTCCGATGAGGAGCGAGTCTGCCTGGACGCTCTGGAGACAGACGGCTCCTGCAGGCCGGTCAGCGGCTGCTGCCACTGGGCCCGAGAAACCGAGAGGCGGCCCTCTGCCTCTGTCTCTGCGTCGGCTTCGGCCCGAGGAGGGCGGAACCCAGGAGGTCCCGAGGGGCAGGGGTGGGGTCTGGCCACTGGCTCTGAGCTGGTGCTCTGCCCAGGGCCGCCCCCTCCGGGACACGGGTGTCCTGTGGCACCCAGGCCTGGCAGGGCCCCATGTGGGCAGCCTGAGGCTGGGGGGCCCTGCCAGGCCCCGCGGCTCCCCAAAGCTGGGTGCAAAGGTGAGCCAGACCCTCAGGGCCTCTCGAGCCGTGGGATCTGCGTGGTCCCCCGAGGGGACTCGGACCTTCTGCAGCTGCTCCTGGCAGTGGGGCCCCCTCTCCGGCCCCCCTGGGCCAGCACCCGTCGAGCAGCCTCTGCCCCTAGGTGTGTGGGGTCCCAGGTCGGTGCTGCCCGCAGATGCGAGACACCCCAGCTGGTAGGACCCAGCAGGGACCCGTGCGAACCAGTGGGCTTCAGGGACATGGGCAGGGCTCCTGGTCTGGGCCCCAACCTGGACTCGGTCCCCGACATGCCCTGGCCCCCGCCCTGGGCCCTGGGCCTGTGCTTCTCCCGTCAGGACCCCCTGTGATCAGAGAGGCTGAGCCAGCAGATCAGTGTCCGCTCAGCCATTTGTGCCGTCATTGCGAGGGCACTGGGCGGTCAGTGGGGGGCCTCAGTGGGCATGGCAGGGGGCTGCTCGCCTGTCCTTGCCTTTGCTGAGAGAAGGTGGGGGAAGGCGCGTGGCGTGTCCCCTGAGCCAAGCCAGGCCGCCCAGCGCCTGCTGTGGAGGCCCCGCCTGCCCTCACCTGCCCCGGTGTTGACTTCTCAGCCCAGGACCCCGGCATCTCCCCCAGCCAGAGTCTGTGTGCGGAAAGTTCCAGAGGCCTCGCCACAGGCTCCCTGTCCGAGAGTGGAGTGGGGCCTGTGGAGGCCTGCTGCCTGGTGATCCTGGCCACGGAGAGCAAGGTGAGCCGGCACTGGGACCCGGCTACCCTCACACCTGACCCAGGCCCCGCCCCCCACACCTGACCCAGGCCCCGCCCCTTGCACCTGACCCAGGCCTCCCCCTCCCAGCTGGCCCCACCCACCCTGGCTCAGGCCCCAGGTCACACTGAGTGGTGCCTCCTGGGTTGTGCTGGGTGGTTCTCTTCCCCAGCATCACCCCCCCTCCCCTGTATGATGGGGGCTGGTTCTCTGTACCCCAAGCTGTGCCCTGAGGGAGGATGCCTGGGAGTGGCCAGTTAGGGTTTGGGGCCCCATCAGCCTCTGGAGGGCTGCCAGCCCCGGGGAACCCTTGGCACTCATCTGTCCCGTTTCCGCTCCGTGAGACGGAGGGGACCCAGTGACAGTCGCCTCACAGGCCCCGCCCTGGAGGCCCCCTGGAGGCCCTTCTAGAGGCCCCACGTCCAGGTCCTGCTGCAGCTGCAGGCGGTGAGGCCTGGTGTTGGGAGTGCTGCCCCCCAGCCCCACCCCAGGCCGGGACCGGTGGGGGGCTGGCAGGGCCGTGGGAAGAGCTGCAGGAGCTGCTGGCCACCTGGGCGCAGAGGCCTGCGGGCTGGGCCTCCGGAAGCCGCCCAGGAAGGTGCCGCTCTGCCTCCCGCAGGTGGCGGCGGAGGAGCTGTGCTCGCTGCTCGGGCAGGTCTTCCAGATCGTGTATACCGAGTCCACCATCGACTTCCTGGACAGAGCCATCTTCGACGGGGCCTCCACCCCCACGCACCACCTGTCCCTGCACAGCGGTGAGCGCAGGCGGGCGCAGGGCTCTGCCGCCACGGGCACGCCGCCCCGGGTCCTCGGGCTGGAGCCAGTGCCTCCATTTCCAGACGCCCCTGCAGGCGCCCGAACCCCCCTCCCCGGGCCAGCCAGTGGCTCCCGCATCACTTCGGGGCTGGGGTTCTTTTCTGGGCCCGCAGGTGGCTCAGGTCACCTCACCTGAGTCAGACCACGCGGGGGGCTGCCAGCACTAGGGCTGCGAGCGGCTGTGGGCGCCTCCCTCCCAGGTGGTGGTGGCGGTGGGGGGCAGTGAAGGAGCCCCAAAGCTTAGACCAGGACAGCATTCAGGTGACCCCAACCCACACGCACACGCACAGCCAGACTCAGGCCCCGCCCACAGGGCCCACTGAGTGCCGTTCAGGACCTTCACATGCACAGCCAAACCCTCTGCTTTTGAAATCGTTTATTGGGGGCCCGGGGTTCTGTGAGTGAGAGGCCAGCAGCCCAGGTGCCTCTGTGCGGAGCCCGTGTGCCGGGGCTCCGAGTTGACAGGTCACCCAACCCGGTGGCTCCGGCTCAGGCTCAGGGTGGCCTCGCCGCCTAGGTGAGAGCCCAGTGGTCTCCCTGCCCGTCTGGGCGCTGCCAGCTCGTCTGCGGCCCAGGGACAGGCTGGTCCTGCCTTCGTAGCTCTGGGCTCCCTCTGCCTTCATGGCTTGGACCAGGGATCTCCTCCACGGCACACCCCCCGCCCCCCCATCGCAGGGCCCGCCCCAGACAGGCCGCGAGGTCAGAGCTCAGCCAGCTCTTCCTGGTCCCCCGTCATCTCCACAGTCCAGGCCGCGGACCATTCCTCTGCCCACCACCTGCCTTTGCTCCCACAGCCCCTGGCACCTGCCTCTGCCTCAGCTCTCGGTCCCTGAACGTCACAATGTCTCAGGGTCCCTTGTGTTACGGACCTTAGGCCACTGTCGGCTGTGTCCTGAGGAGCAGCGGGTACCAGGCCCTTGGCTGGTCTGGAGGTCTCGGCTCCCGGGCCTGTCTGTCCTTGGGGAGCTCACTGGTCTCCCTGGGGACCAGCTAATCATGGCTTCAGCCCCCGGCTGTGGGACAGGGCAGCTGCACGCCCGGATCCAGCCCCTCCCCCGCGTGGGCGGCTGTGGTGCTTGCTGGGCACGGGGCAGTCGTGAGCCCTCGGGCGCTGCTGGTGGGAGCCTCTGCCGCCCCCACCTCACGAGGCCCCCCGGGGAGTCCCCAGCCCATGCTCTGCCCGAGGCCGGCCGTGCCCGCGCTGTTCCCGTGGTCCTGGGAGAGCTGGGCCCTGGGTGGCTGCCCTCCCGCAACCCGGCCTCTGCTCTGCATCCCACACAGATGACTCTTCCACCAAAGTGGACCTGAAGGAGCCCTACGAGGCGGACGCCGGCAGCTTGTGAGTCCCGCCCCGCACTGCCCTTCCCACAGCAGCCCCCCCCCCCCCCGCCCCTGCCCTGGCCCAGCGCCCGGGGCCCTGCGTGTCGGGTGCCAGTTCAGGGGCCGTGTTCCTGCAGCTCCTTCCCCGAGTGTGTGCCCACCGCGCCCCACGCCAAGACGGCCAGCGAGAGTGAGCTGAGCGCCACGGCCGCCGAGCTGCTGCAGGACTACATGCTCACGGTAGGCGTCCTCCGGCCAGCCCGCGGGGGGGGGGGGGGGGGGGGAGGGGGGGGCAGGGGGGCGGTTCCAGGGCGGGGTGGCTCTGGGCCGGACCCCCACCCACCACCCGCTCCCCGCAGCTGCGCACCAAGCTGTCCTCGCAGGAGATCCAGCAGTTCGCGGCGCTGCTGCACGAGTACCGCGACGGGGCCTCCGTGCACGAGTTCTGCATCAACCTGCGGCGGCTCTATGGGGACAGCCGCAAGTTCCTGCTGCTGGGTGAGCCGCGGGGGCGGGGGTGCGCACGGGCAGGTCGGGTGAGCAGGAGTTCGCGGGGCGCAGAGTGAAAACGCCATTGCAGCCGAGGGATGGGCCCGCGCCCCGCGCCCTGGGCCCTGGGCCTGCAGTGTCTCCCGTGGACCCTCGAGAACAGGCTGGCTGGCAGGGACCGTGGAGCTCCGGTCCCGGGCTCTGCCCCAGCGAGGCTGTCTCGTCTTGTCCGTGAGCGAGGGGTGGCGCGGTGGGAGCCCAGCTGGGCAGGGGGTGCCTTGCTCGGCCCCTCCTGTCCCTCCTCCACCTGGGGCTTCCCTGTGGGACGGCAGGGTCAGCTGGGGTGTGCCCGCAGGTCTGCGGCCCTTCATCCCCGAGAAGGACAGCCAGCACTTTGAGAACTTCCTGGAGACCATCGGGGTGAAGGACGGCCGCGGCATCATCACCGACAGCTTTGGGCGGTACCGGCGGGCCGTCAGCTCCGCCTCTACCTCCACCTCCAACGGGAACAGAGTGGCCGGCAGCTCCGACGACCAGTCTGTGCCCTCGGAGGGGGACGAGTGGGACCGCATGATCTCGGACATCAGCAACGACATCGAGGCGCTGGGCTGCAGCCTGGACCCTGACTCGGCCTAACGCCCGGCCGAGGCCGCCTCCCCGCCCAGGGCCGGCCTGGGTGCGGGCCTCTACTGTGAAGGAGACGGGCAGAGGCTGCTGGGCACCCGCCCGTGGAGCCCGGACAGCAGTGGTTTTGCACATGACGTTCCTATCGAAACTCAGAGACCTTAAAGAAATTGCTGCAATGTGAATACTTTATCTCTGCTGCCAGCGTGTTTCTGATCCTGTGGGGGCCGGTGTCCTCCGGCCCTTACGCCTGCCCCCCTTCCCGCCCAGGCTGGGTACAGCGGTCTGCGCCCCGCGCTGCCCTGGCCTGACACTGCCCGCGGGAGCTGGGCTGCTCCCGAGCCAGCCTGGGGAGGACCCGTTGGGGCTCTTGCTTCCTGGACGTGGGGCCGGGAACAGGGGTCCCGGGCGCCTGTGATGTGAATGTCAGGCCCTCGCTGCAGGGACGTGGGCACCAGGCGCCCGGGGGCACGGCCTCTCACTGAGGCCCCCAAGGTCCACAGCAAACGTGTCCCCCTTATCCCTCCATCCCGGCCCCTGGGCTTCAGCCTCCCATCTGTGCCCTTTGAGTGCGGGAGGCAGTGGGGTGACCCCAGGGGAGCCTGGAGACTGCACAGAGGTGTGGGGACGCCCCGGCCACCCTCTCCCAGGTGCCTCTGCTCCACAAACCCCGATGGTGCGAGCAGGGAGCCTGCAGGCTGCAGCCCCACCCTGCGCCGTGAACCCTGCGCTTTATGGAGCCAGGAGCCTCTCCTCTGCTCAGAGTCCCCCCACCCTCTCATCCTGGCACCCGTACACCCTGTGCTGGGATGGGAACCCCACTCAGGGTCCCTGTGTTCTGTCTGGAGGGGAGGGTGTGACGAGGACGGTGACCCTGGGAGGTAGGCCACCAGAAGCCAGGGCTGCCTTCCTGCAGCGTCTCCTTCCCGAAGCTCCCGTGGGAACCCCCTGTGGGAACCGCCCAAGGCTTGGTGTTCTTATGGAAGCCCAGTCCCCTGGCCCACACCTTGCCCACAGCTAAGTGACCAGACTGCCTATAATCTTGGGGACCATTGTGCACCCCAGAACAGAGGAATGGAGGCCCCACCCCACGGGGGAGGACATGGGGCGGGACCACCGTCCTGGGCGTGGGCTCCGGGAGGTCCTGCCTCACCCGCTTGGCTGAGGGCCGCGGGGCAGGGGTGGAAGTTTGTTGAGCAGCAGCACTGGGGTGGGGGGCCGGCTGGCCAGTGGCTACATGGTCAGCTCCTGCAGGAAATGGGGGGAGAGGGTCAGGCCAGGGGACCCAGCAGAGACAGGTGGGGCGTCTGAAGGGCCAGGCCTCACCATGATGGCATTGACGATGTCGCTCTGGTTGTCCCTCAGCGCCCGCACGGCCTTGGCCCTGGACACGTTGGCCTGCGCCATCACCAGCTCAATGTCCCGCAGCTCCAGGCCCGCCTCGTCCACCTGGGGGCACAGGAGGCGCTGGGCTGCCGCTGCCCAGCCAGAGCCACCCTCCCACCCCCACTGCTCCCGTCCTCACCTCCTCCTCCTCGCCCTCCTCCTCCTCCTCATACTCCGGCTGCACCCGGGGCCCAGGCGCCGACTCAGGGACTAGGGTGGAGGGCTCCACGGGCACCTTGAACTTCTCGGCGGCAGCTCTGTGCACTTGCTGGGACAGGTCCTCGATCTGCAGCCGCAGCGGAGCGGCCGTCAGCGCCACGCCTGGGCTTCCGCCCCCCGCCCCCTGCCCCCGCTCCCCGCTCCCCGCTCCCCGCACCCCTGCTGGCCTTGGCCCGGGCCCCGCCCCCCGCTGTCCCCGCCCACGCTGCCCACGCTGCTGGCCTTGGCCTCCCCGAAGACCACGTAGGTGTCGGAGGCCGGGCTCTTGAACACGTCGGGCTTGGCGATGACGAAGAGGATGTTCTTGGACTTGTGGATGGTGATGCGGGTGACGCCCTGCACCTGCCTCAGGCCCAGCTTGGACATGGCCTGGGGGCGGTGGCAGGCTCAGGCCGGGTCGGGAGAGCCGTTTGCTGGACGCAGGCTGACAGGGCCCGGCTGTTTCAAGAAGGAACCCCAACGCCCACCCCCGTGGGATTCACCGCCCCAGGGTGGGAGGTGGTGGGCGGGGCCCCAGTCCCGGGTGGGGGTTGTCTGACCAGCCCCACCCCCAGGGGAGCAGCCCCCAGCCCACCTTCCGGGCTTTCTTCTCGCTGCGGCTCTGCTTGGCTTTGGCTGCAGTCTCCTCGGTGCCACTGGCTGCGGCCTGGGGAAGGGCGGTCTGAGCACCCAGGGTGGGTGTGGAGCCCCCGCCCCCCGAATGCACCCTCTCAGCTGGCACCTGGGCTGGGCCCTGAGGGGCCTGGGGTCCGGAGAGGTCCTGCTCCTCTGGCTCCCCCGACGACTCCCCGTGGCTGTCCGAGCAGCTGCCAGGGGCCGGAGGCGGCTCTGGGGACGGGGGAGGGTGAGGCGGCCCTTCCTCTCGCCTGGCCCCCGCCCCCCCACCTCTGCCCTGGTGGGCAGCTCCCCCCGCCCGGCCTCACCTTCCTCCAGGCTGTCCTGCTCGTCCTGCTGCTGGGTGGCCGGGGGCCCTTGAGGGCTGGCGGGGCCCCGGGGCCCGGAGCCAGGAGGCACTTGGCAGGGGAGTGGGGGCCGCAAGGCTGGGTCTTTGGCATGGAGGCCCCCCGTGGGGGTCACCTTGGGGCTGAGGAGGGAGGGGTGGGGCGGGAGGCCAATGCGCTGCCTGGACTCCCGGGGGTGGGTCCTGGTTCCTGAGGAGGGAGCGGCCCGTGGGGCTCCTGCCTGGGGCGACGGGAGGTCCTCCCCGTCCCCCGAGCTCTCCCGCGGACCCTGGCAGGGGCAGGGGGCAGGGGCCGCTGCGGGGGGCAGGGCTGCCCCAGCGAGGACCCTGGGCACAGAGGGCTCACGCCTCGGTTGCCCGTCCTGGGGCTGCAGTGGGGAGGGGCTGGGGATTCTGGGGGCCGCCTGGGCCTGCTCATCACCCCCCGCACCTCGCACCCGCTCCCGCCTGGAGGAGGGTGGTGAAGACATGGGGGTGGGCTCCTCGGGGCAGCTGCTCCCCGCGCTGGGCACAGCCCTTGATGGAGACTCAGAAGCCACAGCCGACAGAAGCCTGGGCCCCGAGGGGCCCCCTCCGCCCTCTGCTGGGCTCTGGGGCTGCACCCGCCCACCCTCGGGGCAGCCGCTCCCAGGAGCCTTCCCAGCGCCCTGGGGTGCTGACTCAAAGCCTGTGTCTCCCTGGTTTCCTGCCCCGGGGACCTCAGCTCCCACACCAGCAGGCAGGTGGGCCCCCCTGTTGGGCGCCAGCAGGCCTTTGGCGCTTTCCTCTCCACTGGAGGCTGGCTCAGGGGGTTCTGGGGTCTCCGAGGCATCCTCCGGGGGCTCCGAGGCATCCTCTGGGGGGTCCGGGGTCTCCGAGGCATCCTCTGGGGGGCCCGGGGTCTCCGAGGCATCCTCTGGGGGGCCCGGGGTCTCCGAGGCATCCTCTGGGGGGCCCGGGGTCTCCGAGGCATCCTCTGGGGGGCCCGGGGTCTCCGAGGCATCCTCTGGGGGGCCCGGGGTCTCCGAGGCATCCTCTGGGGGGCCCGGGGTCTCTGCAGCAGTCTCTGGGGGGTCCGGGGTCTCTGAGGCATCCTCTGGGGGGCCCGGGGTCTCTGCAGCATCCTCACGGGGGCCCGGGGTCTCCGAGGCATCCTCTGGGGGGTCCGGGGTCTCTGAGGCATCCTCTGGGGGGCCCGGGGTCTCTGCAGCAGTTTCTGGAGGGTCCGGGGTCTCTGAGGCATCCTCTGGGGGGCCCGGGGTCTCTGCAGCATCCTCACGGGGGCCCTGGGTCTCCGAGGCATCCTCTGGGGGGTCCGGGGTCTCCGAGGCATCCTCTGGGGGGCCCGGGGTCTCTGCAGTAGTTTCTGGAGGGTCCGGGGTCTCCGAGGCATCCTCTGGGGGGTCCGGGGTCTCTGAGGCATCCTCTGGGGGACCCGGGGTCTCTGCAGCAGTTTCTGGGGGTCCGGGGTCTCTGAGGCATCCTCTGGGGGGTCCAGGGTCTCTGCAGCAGGCTCGGGGGGGCCCGGGGTCTCTGCAGCATCCTCACGGGTGTCCTGGGTCTTCGAGGCATCCTCTGGGGGGTCCGGGGTCTCAGAGGCAGGCTCAGGGGGGCCCAAGGCTTCCTTGGAGAGGCCTGGGGTTCCCAGTACCTCTGTGGGGGTGTATGGATGGTCTTGGATGGTCGCAGTGGGCTCCAAGATCTCCGGGGTGAAAGTGGGGGGGTCTGGGATCTTTGCGGTGTCAGGAGCCTCTGAGGTGAGTTCAGGTCTGTCTTGGGCCTCCATGGCAGGCTCAGGGGTGTCTGGGGTTTCCAAGGCAGGCTTGCGGGGGCCTGCATCTCCACATGAGGCACAGGATGTCCCCGCATCTGCAGCGAGCTCCCGGCCACCCTGGCGGGTCTGGTCCAGGACCGGAGGCTCCAGGTCTCCAGTGCAGCCCAGGCCCTTCCCCCCAGCTGCCCCTTGGGCCGCGGAGGCCATGGGCTGGGTCCTGGGGGCCCCGCCTGCGTCTGCCCTCGGGGCCTGCAGAGCGACTGGGCTGGGTGCCCTGCCCGCCCCCTGCGTGGTCTGGGGCTCAGTCCTGGGCTCAGGGGCCGGGGTGGTGCAGGCCCGCTCCTGCCAGGACCCAGGTGTGGCCCTGGGCACGGGCCCTGCTCCAGCGATGAGGCCTGCTCCTTGCCACCCAGCCTGAGCGGTCACTTCTGGGGCCCCTGAGGCTTCCAGCGGGGTGTGGCGGGCCAGGGCCACCGGGGACATGGGGCCTGGAGCGGGGCTGGCCCCGGGGACTAACGTGCCCACGTCTCCCTCGGAGACCACGGGGCCGACCTGCAGGGCGGTGGGCTGCGCGTGGGGCTCCCCGCTGTACAGTCTCTCGTCATCTGCTCCAGGGTAGGAGGCCGAGTCCGGGTCCGAGGAGACGGCAGAGGTGTCATCCCAGAAGGCGAAGGCCTCGTCCACGCCCTCGGTGACTGACAGGTCGGACAGTGACCTCAGGGAGGAGGCGAAGGTGCTGTCGTCCCTGTCCTCGCTGGCCCCGTCCCCGTCGGAGGCTGGAGCCTCTGGCTCCTGCTCCTGCTGCTCCTCGGGGGACAGGGGCGTCACCTCCACCGCCTCCACCTGGAAGAGCAGGCTGCCCCGGAACGGCAGGAGGGCGGCCGGGATCATTGGGTCCTGGGCCAGGACATCCAGGTCGAAGAAGTGGCCCTCCTGGTCCCAGGAGGAGCTGCTGTCCGTGGAGAGGCTGGACTCAGGGGACGAGGACCTCGGGGACCCTGTGGGGGGCCAGTCCTGCTCCAGCGTCTCAGAACCGGGCGGGGAGAAGCCGCGGCCCGAGGGCACCCCTAGCCCTTCCTCGGGAGCCAGGCTCAGGGAGCAGGAAGGGGAAGGGGACGAGGCCCAGCTTTCTGTGTCCGCGGTGACGTAGGAGCCTGAGGGTGAGGTGGGCGGTGAGTCCCCCACGGGCCTGGCCTCAGCCTGGGCGTCCCTGCAGGGCCCGGAGCTGGGGGGCAAGGCAGGGGTCTCACTGGGAGTGGAAGGAGGTGTGAAATAGGAATCGGGGTCTGGGGCAGGAAAAGGCACAGGAGGGTCACCCCGAGAACACGACGTGGGGGAGTGCAGGCTGGCAGGCCCCCCCTCCGGGTCCCTGAGCTGTGGCGGGGCGGCCCAGGGTAGTGGGAGTGCCTGGCACGTCTCCTCCCCCATCACAATCCGGGGCTCCAGAGTGGCTGGGAGAGGCCGCTCGGCAGGCTGCACCTCGGGGGGCCTTGGGCTGGGGCCCCCCTCCATGGGGACCGCCCAGGCTGAGAGCGCCCGGCCAGGCCCCACATCCCCGCTGGCTCCCTCAGGCGGGGGCCGGGCGCCCGGCTTGCTGAGCAGGAAGGTGAGGTCCAGCGGGCTGGGCCCAGGGGTCAGGGCACACTGCTCAGGCTGGTCCCCTCTGGGTGTGGTGGCTGCGGCCGTGTCACAGGACCCGTCTGTGGAGAGAGAAGGGCGTGAGGAGGGCTGGCACCCGCGCCCCCAGGAAGGGGTACCGCCTTGAGGGGACGGGGAGCAGTTATCGCTATGTCGGGGAGCATTTCCGAGGTCTGACCACAGCAACCAGCTCGGGGTCCGTGTGTGGGCGCAGCTGTGGCACAGACGGGCACCCCGCTTTTCTGCAAGGTGCTTGGCAGCAACGCCGCGGCTCCCTGCCTGTGACCCTCTGCCCGCCCCTCCCGGGACCTCCGGGGTCAGAGGGCCCTGGAACATTCCACCCGGGTAGGGTCCCTGTGCCTCAGCTTTCTGTCTGCAGAGGGAAGTGTCCACCAGACCTGAGGCGAAGCTCCGAGGTGACCCTGCCCAGTGCCCATCTGCCTGCAGCAGGCCCGGCCCTGGGGCCACACTGCTGGGCGCCAGGGGGCCAGGGGGGTCCTGAAAAGGGGTCCTTGGGGTCCACTGGGGTGTGAGCAACACCCGGCACCTGAGGTGGGTGTGGCGGGCAGGGCAGGTGCCAGAGGCTGGGCCCGGCCTGGTACCCTGACCCACCCACATCGGCCCAAGGCCCCAGGGCAGCGGGAGGGAGGAGCTGGGCCAAGGCTGCAGTGTGGGGAGGCCTACAGGTCGAGGTTGGAGTGACTGGTTCAAGGTCACCAGGCTCTGGGTCTGGGGATACCAGCCCCGTTCCCTTTTCTGGACTCAGAAGGAGGCCAAGCCCCCGGCCCGGCACAGCCCCATCCCCAGGCGCCCTGCCCGCAGCAAGGTGCCCTTGGCCCTGAGTCGCACATGGCTGACCTCCAGCGGGGCGTCCGCCCCATCAGGCCTTCCTGGCCCGGGAACCCAGCATCGGCCTGGCCACCCAGGACGAGGCCTGCCTACGGCAAACTGCCCCCGGCCCTGACCCCCAGGACTCCCCCCCCCCCCCACCGCGGTGCCCTCTGGCCTCCCTCCGGGACCAGTGCGGCCCAGTGGTCTGCAGGCAAGTGGGGGACAAGTGTCCCCAGACCCAGGGTCAGCTGGGAACCGCCGCCTCAGTCCAGATCCGACCCGCCCAGGCAGCTCCGCGCAGACAATGGAACGCCGGGCCCGGGACTCCCGGTCAGCACCGCCCCCCGCCCTTTCCCGCAGTCCCGGGGCGGCGGGCGGGGTCAGCATTCAGGGGTCGCAAGGACACGGGGCGGGGGCAGGGATAGACCGAGGGCGGGGACGCACGCGGGAAGCGCGCAGCCTCACCTGTGCGGACCCCTGGGCCGCCCGCCTCCGGCAGCAGCAGCTCGGCGCGGGCCGCCTCCCCGGGCATGGCCTGGCCGCGCGCCCGTCCCTCTGTCCCGGTGCCTCCGTGCGTCCGTCCCGTGGAGCCTGGGAGGCCACCGCCCCTCGCCCGGGATGGGGTGGGGGTCAGTGGGTGACGTCACGCCGCCCCGCCCGCCGGTGCCCAAATGAGCGTGCGCGCCGCCAGGCACTGCGAGCGCGGGTCCTCCCGCCCGGGGGCGCCCTCCCGGAGCGGACCGTCTCCGCAGAGCTGCCTCCCTCCCTCTCACGGCCAGGGGCTCGCGGCGGCGGGAGGCGGGGCCCCGGGCGGCATCACACCTCGGCCGGGTCGGGGAGAGGTGGGGTCGCCAGATCTCAGGGTGCGGGCCGAGGCAGCTGCAAGTGTCGGGGGACTGGGTGCTTTGGGGAGGCTGCGCGGCCCCACCTGTCCGGGTCGGGTCGGAGCGAGCGCCTCCATCCTAGAGGTGAGCGGGGCCCGCAGCTCCGCAGTGATTGGCTGGTCCCCGGTCGGTCCCCATGGCAACCGCCTCCGGCTCCGAGAAACCAGGGCGGGACAGTCAGTGCCCCGCCCGCCCTTCCTCTCCCTCCCTGATGGCCGCCCGGTTCCCGGCAGCGCCCGCCCCGCCCAGGACGCCGGCCTTCGCTCCCGATGGTCTGACCGCCGTGCCAGGCTCAGGCAGACCGTCATTGTCCCCCAGACCGGGCGGGGGCGGGAGCACCGACTGTCAGCAGCTGTGCTGGCGGGTGGCGTGTCCTCCATCCTGCCCACGGCTCCACCCCGAGCCCGCGGGGCCAGGGGGTTCACGCCCAACCTCCACCGTGCACCCCGGGTGCCGCCCCCCCCCCCGCCCCCGTCGCTGGAAACCGTCCGTCTGGGACTCCTGCTCTTTCTCCCCCGCCCCTCCCAGGGGCGCTAAGTCGCCCCTGCTCCACTGGCCGCCAGGAACCAGAGCCCTCCATGGGCCGGGATTGTCTGGATGAGATGGCTGGGCCCCCCCCCCCCCACCCCCATGGTAAATGCCGGAAACAAGACCACTTCACGGAAGCCCCACAGTGAGGGAGCTCAGGGCTGAGGGACCCCAGGGCAGCCCCGACAGGAGGGCCCAGCCGACCACCAGGACCAGGCAGGCACTTTCTGCCCCCGAGGAATGCAGTCCTGCCACCTCTGGGAGGACCCTGACAAGGGGAGCCCACTTTTCCCCACTGGCTACAGGGCGGTGAAGGCACTGGCAAGGGGCACCCACCACCAAGCACCTCCCAACCCCCACCTTGGGGACACAGCAGAGACGGGTGGCATGAGGCCAACAGTGATGCAAAGCCACAGGACCTGCGTGCGTAGCCCAATAGGATGGCTGTCGCTAGAATAAACCTCAATCCAATTGCCTAACTGTCCAGGACACAATAAAAATCACCCATCGTACCAGGAAAATCACAGCTAGAAAAGGAACCAACCAGCCTGGCCAGTGTGGTTACATGGCTGAGCACTGACCCATGACCAGGTCACATGGACCCCCAGCAGGGGGTGTTGCAATTACTGAGTCACAAAAAGGAACCAGGTAGAGAGTGGATAAGAACCCAGGAACCTGTGGGCTGAGCAGGGCTGGTGGGCCCTGGTGTGGTGGGCAGCTCACACTTCCTTAGCAGGACTCCCAGGCCCGAGCAGGCTCTGCACCCCAGATGCTTGTCCCTGCTGGTCCTTCACCTTGGGGTGCCCCATCTGCCTGGTCTTGGAATCACCAGCTTCAGAACGCCGTCTCTCTCTGCCCCCCACCCCTGGCTGTGCAAATGACTATGTTCTATGCACTGGCGCCTGGGGGCTCCCCCTTTACGTCAGCCTGTGAGCAGAGAAGGTTTAACGAGGAGGGGTGGGCAACAGCTGGGACGGGCATGGGGCATGAGGGCCCTTCGGCACCATGCCCGCTGTGTTTCCGGCTGTACTGGTGGAGGCCAGTGCCCAGCGTGCTCCCTGGTGAGGGAGCAGAGGGGGGAGCCATGTCCTCCCGGCACCAGGCAGCACTTGGCATTGAGTCCGGGTGAGACAAGAGAGGTCTCCTGCATCAATGCCCCCAAATATCGGGCTCTCATGACCCTGCCAGCACAGGCCCACCTGACCATGGGTGCGAGGGCACCTCCAGGACAACTGTTCACACCCCAATTAGAACCCCAAGCCAGGCACTGAGCACCCACTGGTCTCACAACTTTAGGACTCAGTCTGAGCTGGCTGACCACAGGGGGAAGCCACATGTGAACGTCCACGAGGAAGGTCTGTGGGTGGCAGAACAGCCAGGCAGCTGGGTGACGGGCTGCCTGTGGGAAGCCAGCCCCCTCTGCCCAGCTCCGTGCCTCTCGGACAAGTGGTTCTGCTGATGGGGGAGGAGGGAAGGCACAAGGCAGAGGCCTCGGGGCCACCCCTGCCCATAGCAGACGGGGGGGTGGCGAGGGCACGGTGGACGGCGTGGGGTCACGGCAAAGCGCAGGAGGCCTCCTGGTGTTGAAAACCAAAGTTAAAGATTTATTTCCCACGAGAGGGCAGGGGCATGCAGCACTGCTGGCCCAGGCCCTGCACGTCTGTCCTCATTGCCGCCTGCAGCCCCGGGCTCAGTCCATGCAGGCAGGTCACTTGGCCAACTCCTCTGCCACCGACTTGCGCATCTTGTCCTTGAGGTAGGCGGCCTTCTGCCACTCGGACCGGAGCTCCAGCCACTCATAGTAGGGGACCTGGGGGCGGCACCAAGTGAGCAGCACAGCTCCAGCCTCCACCCTGCAGGGGCCAGGACCATGGGACCAGTGCCAGGCTCAACCACTCGGGCTAAAAGCGGCTCCCAAATGTTTCAGTTGTTTTAACAAAGAAACTGACAGCATCTCCCGTGGCCGCTCACAAGCTACCTCTTGGAAGGAGCAGGAGGGACGGAAGTCTCCCAGGCGAGAGCGGGCTCGGTGCTGCTCACCTGGTTTGAACCTGGGCATCCTGTCCCCCCCTCCACCCCCCCAAGAGGCCCTGGCTGTGCAGGTGGGAGCAGGACCTGAAGCCCCGCTGACATGCCCCCTTTGGTCACCACCTGCCCGACAGGTACTCACGTCCACCACCAGGAAGCCGGCAGCCAACACATGGCGTCGGGCGAGCACAAAGCGGCCCAGCAGGTCTTTGCTGCGGCTGGCGAAGTTGGAGAACTCCCAGCGCAGGAAGGCCAGCCTGGGGGCAGGGAGAGGAGCCACTGGGCTGACCGTGTCTGTCTTCGGAGGGCTTGGCAGCACAGGCAGAGCAGGCCAGGGCCACACCAAGAAGAACGGGGAGGACCTAGGCGCGTGGCCTACCTCTTGGCCGTAGGCGGTGGTAGCTGGCCACCCGAGGGCGGGGACAGATGAGGGGCCACGAAGTCCCTCAGGGGCAGGAACTGGCCTTCGGCATCCAGCAGCACCTCTGCGTCTGGGGAGGGGCGGCAGACAGAATGGTCGACGGTCCCCACGTGGAGGGCAGGGCGGGGCGGGCAGGCCCTAGCTGGGTGGACGGGTGGGAGGCTCACCGAGAACCCAGCCGTACTGCGTGGCCACAGAGAAGCGGCCCCGGTCAGCTCCCCCCAGCAGCCCCTTCAGGGTCTCCTGCAGCTCCTTCTGCAGGGGCGTCACCTTCCTTTCAGGGGCCGGGGGCCCGGGGTCCAAGGCCGTGGCCGGCAGCAGGGGGCCCGCGTACTCGGGGTGCTCCAGCCGGGCCGTGGCGTTGATGTGCAGCAGCTTCTGCAAGGTGCTCTGACCCCTGGGGGACCTGTCACCTACGGGAAGAGGTGCAGTGAGGGGGGGAGGAGGACCTGATGGGTCACCTGCAGGCAGACGGCAAAGCAGCAAATGCTGGGGAGCCTGGCCCATCGTCTCCCCTGCTCCTGGCCTGGCACTGGGCCTAGAGGCTCGCACCCGCACCTGGCCGAGGGCACACAGGCTGGGCAGCGCAGTCCCAGGGCAGCACACGGACCCCCGCCCTCACCTAGGAACTGGGTGTGCAGCTCGGGGCGCAGCACGGCCTGCAGCTCCGACGCCCGGGCCTGCTGCAGCACGCACAGGGCCCACAGCACGTCCACCTGCAGGGCTGGGTCCAGGTCGGCCAGCTGACTCCCCAGCTTCTCATGTACCTGGGGGACAGGGAGGGGTGCAGGGGAGGCTCTGCTCAGTATGCGCAGATGTTCTGGGTGCGAGGCCGCCACTGGGAAAGGTGCCAGGAACCATCCAAATCCCCTGGGACCCATCGGGACAGAAGGACATTCAACTGGGCTTTCCCACTGGCCCCTCCATGGGCAGAAGGTGAGGCACAAACCACCTCTCCAGGAACGTTCGAGTGGCCCCAGGACGGGAGGCATTTCCGGCCCCGAGAGGGACTGAGGGCACGAGTGGACGCAGCTGGGGTGGTGCCCCTACAGAGACCTGCCAGTGGGTCGGAGTCTCGGGGGCGTTAAGGCGGAGACAGGAAGTGAGCCCGCCCAGGGACGCCTCCTGGGCCTGCAGCCGCTCTGGCCCACGGTCGAGTGCTGGGTTTCGAGTGTTGTCCCCAGACAATCCGGGAGGTCTGGTTCCAGCTGGCTCGCTCTGCCCCCTGCCCCTGCAAGGCCTCCCTCCTTCCCGCCTGCAGGGAGGGGGCCGGGAGACCGTACCAGGTTGAAGAATGCTTCCTCTTGCTCCGGACGGAAGTTCAGGCGGGCGAAGGCCAGCAGCACGTTGCAGAGGTCGGACATGGCGACGCTCTGGGCCCGGCTGAGGACGTGCTGGGCACAGGGAGGCAGGGGGGCAGGATGAAGTGTCCACGCCCTCTCCGCCTGGCAGCAGCCCCAGAACCCGCCCAGCACGGCTGTGGAAATGCTCCTTAACCAGTAGGTGCTGTGCCGACCAGATGCCCATGCACCTCAGCACAGGCACCGTCTTCCTCACACGAGCTCCCTGTGGCAGCTGAGGGGGTCTCAGCTTCGCCACCCGCACAGATTACCAGTTCGGTGCCCACTGCAGCCACCATGACTGCAGCACGGGGAGAAATCGTTCTCTCCCTGCAATGGCGTCCCTCCAATGCAGAGCAGGAACCCCATGTTTGCACTGGGGCGTTTCTAGCCCCTGGACCTCCTGACAAACCCCAGGACTCAGGTGTGCACCCTGCTCACCTGGGCAAAGGCCTCGAACAGGGGCAGGTTGAGCCACTTGAGTAAGGCGAAGGACTTGGCGCAGCGGGCCACCTCGCCGGACGTGAGGCTGGGCACGTGGGGCAGCAGGTCGGTGGCCAGGCGCTGGAACACCTGGGTCTGGTGGAAGCCGAGTTTGCCTTCGGGACAGAACAGACCCTGGGGTTCACCTGGAGGCCCACCCAGCACCCCAGCCCGGCCCTCAGGTCTAGGAGCTTGGTGTCTGTAGCCAAATTTATCCCTGAGGCCCAGCAGAGGGGCCCAGGGCCCATGGGTCACACTGTTTCTATGGCAGCCTTCCGGGCCGGTGCCTGCCACGGGGGCGGGGGGGGCAGGCACCGA